AAGCACTTCAGCAATATACTTGGAAGCCATTTTAAACAGCAAAATCAACAAAATAGCACAAGACACATGGCACTAAATAGATCATGAAACGATAGCTGTTTGTAGTATGAAAGCTGAAATAAGAAAGCAAAGCATTGCTTTGTTCAATCTCAGCTGGGTGGCTCGATTTTTTCACCACTATGCCCACAAATAACCATGGTCATGGTCATGGAAATGCCAGGATTGTTGATTTTAGGGAGTTGGCAAATCTGGTAACACAGAATCTCCAAATAACAAAAGAAAATTCACCTACTACATCATCAGTGGCAAAACATAAATGCATTTAGAAAAATAAGTTTAAGACACCTGCTACTATTACTTCTAGTCAATATTGTACTAGAGGTCCTACCTAATGCAATAAGAAAAAGAAACAAGGATTTGAAATGAATATAATTATTAGTAAATATTGCCTACAAAACCCCAGATCATCTACAAATTGGAACTAATTTAGCAAGGTTGTTAGATATGATTAATATGCAAAATTCAATTGGATTTCTATAACCCAGCAACAATTTGTAAAATTTTAGCTAACAAAAAATAATGCTTTACAACAATGAAAAACATGAGGGTTCTACCTAGGAGTAAACTTAAAAGATGTGAATGATCTTTGTGAAGAAAATTGCAAAAAAGATTTTTGACATACAGCAAGGAAGCTCTAAGTAAATGGCAAGCTATATGGATGGATAGTAAATGTATAATGGATAGTAAAAGTAAAAAAAAATAATTTTGGACTTCTCCAAAACTGTCCTCTAGATTAAATGTAATTTCATCCAAAATCCCTATGGGGCTTTTCACAGAATTTGAGAAGTGAATTCTTTATGTAGAAATGCAAAGAGCTATGACAATCCTGAAAAACAGAAGACTTGCCTTACCAGATAATCATGATGTAGTCAAAAAATGGAATAGTATATGTATCAATATGAATGCATTTCAAAAAATGTTAACATTGAGCTAAAAAAAAGCATAGAATATATGAAATACTCCATTTTATACATTTCAAAAACAGGAAAGTGAAACTAACATTTTAGGTATACTTAAACACGAGATAAAACAACAAAAAACAGAGATTATTAACACAAACCAGAATAATGGTTACAAGGGACTGATAACTTATTAAGTTTGGTGATGAATACGTAGGTGTTCATTTTGTTATTCAAACTGTCTTCTTACACATTATTCTCTTTGTGTATACTTTATAATAAAACAATTTAAAAGATGGAATGCTCAGAAAATAGTAATGTTGAAACCCTAAAGAGTATCTTAAATTTTGCCATGCTATTTTAGTTTTTAAAAACATGTTAAAACTAAAAAATTCCTCAAAAGTGGTCTACAAGTTTAGAACACTCAAGGTTTAAAAAAATTCTTTTTTAATTTAAATCCAAGTTAGTTAACATATAGTGTAGGGGATCCTGGGTAGCTCAGTTGGTTAAGTGTCCAACTTCAGCTCAGACAGTTCTAGAGTCTAAGCTCATCAGGCTCTGTGCTGACAGCTCAGAGCCTGGAGGCTGCTTTGGATTCGGTCTCTGTCTCACTCTCTCAAAAATAAAATTAAATAAAAAAACATATAGTATAATAATGATTTCAGGAGAATTTGGTGATTCATCACTTACATATAACACCCAGTGCTCATCCCAACAAGTGCCCCCCTTAATGCCCTTAATGCCTCATTAAGTGCCTTCCTTAATATCTTTCAAGTACAAAAGGAAAGAAAATCAAAGAAAATATATAAAATGACCAAACACATCATTAAAGGATGTACTTAGGAATTTCTGGGAAGAGAATGTCACTGCAGATTTAAATCTATTGTTTGACCTGTACATTGCATTTTCAGAAATTCATTTGCCTCTAAAACTTGCAGACTCCCTTATTGAGAGTAAAGTACCCTAAATATAACCAATCCAATTACTTTCACTACTCTATGATTAACATAGTTTCAAATACTGAAAGAAATGAAGCCAGGCAAAGCTAAAAACAGCAGCAGCAGGAGCAGCAGCAAACATAAGCTCTAGGCTAGGGAGGCTTAGGCGTGGCTACAATGTGGACCACGTGTCCCAGAGTACATTAAGAAAGTTAAATTAATTGGAAATTCCCTCCAATTTCTATTTATCTGGTTTAAAACTCTTCCCCTCAAATAAATGTAATGTATTGCATTAAAATAACAGAAAAGGAAAAAAATAATCTGAAAACATGTGAAACTGCCAAAGCTTAAAGCACAAAGACAAATCTGATGTATAGCAGAATACATAAGTTCTAAAATAAAGGCAACAAACATACTGCTTTATCAGATATGTTATAAACATCATTCTTACTGGTTTTAGAAAGTAGATGGAATTATAATCATGAGGGCATCTGTTTTTGCTCCATTCAAAATACAACAGCATCAATGAGAATAAATGAAATAGACACATTTATATAAATGCAATTGTAAAATAGTATTTTATTATTTTTAATATAGTGCTGTAACATTTCATAATATTGCATACTGCTCAAATGTTGGTTTATTTAGTTAGGCAAGAATATCCTCCCCTCATCCCATGCCCAAATCAGAATTTAAAGACACATTATCCTTTAGAGCCCTAGCACACTGTCTCCTACTATGTCACATTTCATAAAACAGTAATGCTATGAAGTAAAAGAGTAAAGGTTAACAATTACTTTGATTTCACAGTTTCACAAAGCAGCCAGTAGATTGCTGAATTCAGAACAGCAACAAAAATTCACTAGACTTTGTAATAGTTACCTTTTCCATAATGTTCCTTCCTAAGAAAAAATATGAAGGCAAAGGTAATGCTTCTTTTAGTCTTTTATTCAACAAATCAACCTTTATCTTGCAAATAAGTTTTACAGTTATGAGATGATATTATTTCTGTGCCAGCAGATTTTTGTTTTTTGTTTTTAAATTTTTTGTTCTGGTGCTACCAGTAAGTGAACAAAATGACACTAAAAATTAAGTTCTAGGAACATCTTTCAAAACAAAATTTGTTTAAAAAAAACCAGGCTAGTGAGTCAAGTACTTACAAATATAAAACAAGTAAGCATAATTGCATAGATTAACTAGTAAAAATTCAAATTCAGACAAAATAAAATAATAAATTTAACTAAACGTAAAAGGCTCTTTCAAGTATTTTCTTTTTTTTTTTTTGCATTAATGTTGTATGCATTCTCCTTTACATGTTTTAATTTTTTTTTGACACAGTTTCTCTTGGATTTAAATATAATAACTCATTATAGGAAAGCAAGTTAAAAAAAATTTTTTTTCCATAAGGGTCAGTGAAGGTTAATGAAAATATATTTTGGATCATTTTAAAAATCATATTTGAAAAGAGCTGACATATATAAAAAAAAATGTAATAACAAAGTATTTGCTGTTATTGGTTCAATGAAGTCATCATCATGTCAATAGCTGGTTCCAAATATTAGATACTACCCCTTGCATTCAAATCTAATCAAATTAACTACCCAAGTAACAGATCTAAGAAATTAAACACAATTTTATATTTGGATATTTATAATATGGTCATATTCTGTATTTAGAGATAATAAAGTCTTTCAAAACTTTGACCAAAGTCTTTCAAAATTTAAAAATTGTCCCCTCAAAAATCATTTTTATGAGTGTGGGTACGTACACACACATACATTATTTCTCCTTCTGTAAGAACTACTTTGTTTAAAAGACTTGACTTAGATATTTATTAATATGACTACAGGGTCCTCAAAATAAAAGCAGGCACAGCTGGTTAGTTTATGAATTATGCTGCATTATCAAGTTCAGTTGATTACAAAGAGTGGAATACCCTGTCACCTGATACTTAGAACCATCTGTACCACAAAGAAGTGTTTATGTCATAAATTCACCATCAGTTTGGTAATCTTTGATATAACTACCCTGTTCTTTTGGATATACATAACGCAAAAAAACAAAAACAAAAAAAAACCTTTTTATACTAAACTTTGTAACTTCCACCACAATAAAAAGGGCACAGATACAATCCTCTACTTAACAATATATAAAAGAGGTTTGGCAGATACAGTCAGCGTTATGGACACCATTTTAACCTGTATTTTATATCTGTAGGTTTTAAGTGTCTTGCCAAAAGCATAGTTTCATGATACATAATTTACAAAGTGTCATACTAGTTAAAAGTACTCCTATATACATTTTCTTCTTGTAACATGCCTCTGATTTCCAGCAGAAACATTATAAATGCTATCATAAATGAAATCTTTCTTTACAGAATAGACTATGGATCATATCAAAAATGCTTTAATTCCCATCTTAAAACAGGTGTATACTAATTTTTAAATATTTTAAGTAAATAATTGGAAATGTAAATAGCCTGCATATAACTATAAATGAAAAGACTGAGTTCAACAGTACCATATCTGCTTAGAAAGCTCTAACAAGTACAGCACTGTGAGAATAACACACAGATACCATATACATATGTATCTATAAATAAATATAATTTTTCTATTGAAACTTTTTTTAAAAGCTTCACGGATTGAAGAGGTTTTTGCTGTTAATACGTAAAACACATACAGTATACTGACCAATCTGATACAATTGTAATCTAATACACTGATTTACAACAAGCAGCAGTATGACCCTCTGTATTATGAAAAAAAAAATCCCTAATACAGATTTCAACTATATTGAAGAATCCTTAGCAATTTTCATTAGTGTCATCCTTTAGTGTCCAAATATTAAGTGCATTTAATAAAATTTAACACACAACAAGGTGATTTCTTCAGGATAATTTTGCCATTCAAGTACCCAAGTTTATTATTACACAAAAAGTGAAACTGTTCAATTACTGCTCTGAAAAATCAGAGAAAGAATTACAGTATTATTTTTGCTATGCAGCACTACTTTAGATTCATGATGGCATCTCTATCATGATGCTTTTTAAAATGAAGAGTGAAAAAATAATAAAACACTATTTCAAAAATGGTAGCATATTTGGTCAAAATACAAAATATAATAATATTAATAGCATTTGTATGTTAAAAACAAATATTTAAATGTGTAATCATTTCAATGTGTTCAACATGAAGAACAGCTTTTCTCTTCACAATTGCCACATTTTAATTGATTATCAGTACAATACTTCTATGTTTTATAAATAAATTTTACAGGTTTTCTGTTGTGTTTTTTTTTTTGCAAAGTATAACCTACAGCACAGTGATTTATAATTTAAGGTAATAGATATTTTCACATTCTAATTTAGCTTTTACACTATTTCATGCTTCTGAAGCTTCTTTGTTTTTGCTTCAAGATAGAGGTAGATTTAGTAGATTGGGCATGTCAGACTTACTGCCAAAATGCAACTATCAGTAGCTGTACTGCTAATGCACAGTTTCCAAGATGCTAGAAAAAATTCAGAACCATTATGTAATACTCTGCCAAAGTTCTCCTTTTCAAGCTTAAGTTATTAAATAATTTTATATGTATTTAATTGTTCACAAGTAGATACAAAAAATAGATAAAACAATTGAAACACAAAAACAGGTATACCAAAATAAAAACAAAACTATAACAAAAGATTGCATCTGAATGGAAACTTTTGTTTTGCTTTTTAAAAGTGCATCAACTTTTTTCTTTTCTGTTCTAAGTAAAAACACACCAAACATTCCTACTGACATTGTAACAAAGAAGAGATATCTGAAACTACCCTATTTAGCCATTTATTTTCCCCTCACCAAATTAAAGTTGAAACCCTTCCATTGGTGCTTCTTGCTGCTGAAACACGAACTGTTGCTGATTTTCATCCACCTGAGGTACAATGCTGGGGTCATCTTCTTCTACACCAAAGTAATGTTCAATCAGATCAAAAGCCTTTTGGTAAATTTCCTGATTTTCATGGCTTTGCAGAAATTCAATTTTATCCAGACCTATTATATAAAACATATATATATATATATGAAGAGAGAGAGAAAACTGAAAACTGTATGTAGGTTTCAACATACAATTAAATCAAAATAATGAATCAATAGCATCTGTTAGTCTGCTAGCAGTGAGACTGTTATTTTTATTTAATTTTTGCACATACTGATAGCTAACACCATTTATGCCTTAAACTTTTGAGAATGAAAGCATGAGGCAGAGTGGTATGAGGAAGCAGCACAGGACTGGCAGTAAAAACATCACAGTCTTCACCCTGGTAGCAGTGTGATTTTGCCCAAATAAGTTTGGTTCCTTTGTACTTTAGTGTCTAAATTTTAAAATTACAGTTTTAGAGTATGTAACTCCACAGGTCCTTTCCAAAGTAATTATGCTAAATAAAAGGCACAAAAACGGATAGCAAAACAGAAACACACTAAAGGTGAGCAAACTAACACACATTATCTCTGAAAATGAACCAGACGATACTAATATGGAATGAGTATTATTTGCAATCCAACGTAGCTACTATATAGTTTACCAAAAGTACAACCTATAACTGAAACTGGTAACGTCTATTTTTACAAGATAAGCAGATTCCAAAGTACTTCATTTCATTGCTTCCAAGAAAAACAATCTACACTTAAGTCTGAGTGACACTGAAAATATTTTTCATTTGATTACAGATAAACTTCTCCAATTATATTATTGCAGGATAATACTGGAAGGACTAGCCAGAGCGATTAGGCAATAAAAAGGAATAAAAGGCATCTAATTCAAAAAGGAAGAAGTACAACTGTCATCATTTGCAAATGACATGGTTTTACACACAGAAAATCCTAAAGACTCCACCAAAACACTGTTAAAACTAATCAATGAATCCAGTGAAGTAGGAGGATACAAAATCAGTGCAAAACTCTAGTACATGTCTATAAAGAAATAACACACTATTAAAAGAGAAATTTAAAAACTAATCCCATATACAAGTGCATCAAAATGAAAAAAATACCTAGGAATAAATTTACCTCCTTTTACCAAGGAGGTAAAAGACCTGTACACTGAAAACTATAATGAAAGAAACTGAAGACAACACAAATAAATGGAAAGATATTCTGTGCTCATGGGTTGGAAGAATTAATACTGTTAAAATGTCCATACTATCCAAAGCAATCTACAGATTCAGTATCATCCATATCAAAATTCCAATGGTATTGTTCACAGAAACAGAACAAATAATCCTAAAATTTGCACTGAACCACATAAAACCCAAAATAGCTAGATGCAATTTTAAGAAAGAACAAAGCTGGAGACATTATACTCCCTGATATCAAACTATATTACAAAACTATAATAATCAAAACTTAGTTGCATAAAAACAAATCAATGGAAGAGAATAGAGAACCCAGTAAGAAACCCGCATATAACATCAATTAAATTACTACAAAGGATCAAAGAATGTAACATACAATGGGAAATGATAGTCTCTTCAAAAAAATGGTGCTGGGGGGTCGCCTGGGTGGCTCAGTCAGTTAAGTGTCGGACTTCGGCTCAGGTCATAATCTCATAGTTCGTGGATTTGAGCCCCATATTGGGCTCTGTGCTGACAGCATGGAACTTGGAGCCTGCTTCAGATTCTGTATCTCCTCTCTCTGCCCTCCCCTGCTCTCTCTCTCTCTCAAAAACAAACATTAAAAAAATGGTGCTGGGAAAACTGGACATATACACAAAAGGATGAAACTGGGCCACTATCTTATACCACACACTAAAACAAACCCTGAATGGATTATTTGAATGTAAGATCTGAAATCCTTAAACTCCTAGAAGAAACACAGGTGATGAACTCTTTGATATCCATCTTGGCAATTTTTTGGATTTGACACCAAAAGCAAAGCAACAAAAGTCAAAATAAACAAGTGAGGTTTTATCAAACTAAAAAGCTTCTGTACAGCAAAGAAAGTCAACAAAATGTAAAGACAACCTACAGAATGGGAGGAAATATTTGCAAATCATATACTTTAATGAGTTAATACCAAAAATATATAAGGAACTCATAAAACTCAACACCAAAAACAATCTGTTAAAAAATAGGGAGGAGATCTGAATAGATATTTTTCCAAAGAACATAGATATCCAACAGATTGAAAAGGTGATCAACATCACTAATCATTAGGGAAATATAAATCAAAACTGCAGTGAAATACCATCTCTCATCTGTTTGAATGACTAAATATCATCTCACATCTGTTAGAATGACTATTCTCAAAAAGACTAGAAATAACATTGATGTGAAGAAAACAGGACCTTGGTGCATTGCTGGTAGGAATGTAAATTGGTGTAGCCACTATGGTAAACCGTATAGAGGGTTTAACTACTCAAAAACAAAAATACCTTACCATATAATTTAGCAATTCCATTTCTGGTTATTTATCCAAAGAAAACAAAAACACTAACTAGAAAAGATACCTGTACCCCCATGTTCACTGCAGCACTATTTACAGTGGCCTAGATACATGAACAGCCTAAGTGTTTACTGATGGATGAAGAATTAAAAAATTGTGGTATATAATAAAATATTATTTAGCCATAAAAAAGAATGAAATCTTGCCATGTGCGACATGGATAGACTAAGGGCATTATGCCAAATAAAGTAAGTCACACAGAGAAAGACAAAGACCATCTGATCTCATTTATATGTGAAATCCAAAACCAAAAACAAACAAATACCAAGCTCCCAGAGACAGAACAGATTGGTGATTGCCAGTGAAGGAAGCTGGCAAAATAGGTATGAAGGTCAAACGGTACAAACTTCCAGTTATAAATAAGTAAGTCATGGGGATATAATGTACAGCATGGGGACAATAGTTAAGAACATTTTATTATATATTTATTAAGCTGCTAAGAGAGTAAATCTGGAAAGTTCTCATCACAAGAAAAAATTTTTATAACTATGTACAGTAATGGTTGTTAACTAGACTTACTATGGTAATTGTTTTGCAGTAGATACAAATATCGAATCATTATCTTGCACAACTGAAACCAACGTAATGTTAAATAGCAATTAAAAACCAAAAAAAATGGACTAAAATGATAAATTTTGAACTGTCTGCTTACCATATGCTTCTTCAATGAGAGCACAGTATGGATTAATGCCTATTCCATTTTGCTTGGATTCTTGTTCTCCAAGACGCAGAATATTTTCAAGTCCATTTAAAGCCACTTGGACTATTTTAGAGTCCATAACAGTCAATAGGTCACAAAGTGGTTTAATGCAACCTAAGGCTACCAAATACCTTCAGAGTAATTAACAACAACAAAATAAAAGTAGAGAAAAAAATATTTAAATAAATATTTACAACAATGATAGGAAAATATCCTTTACTGAAATGTTACATAAACAACTAGAAAACTACTGATATATAAACTCAAACATTAAAACATTTAAATTTTCATTTCCGTAGGAGTCTGAAACTTCTTTTTCCTCTCCTATTCTCTTTTAACATAAATAGCAATAAATGGTATTACATACATTACAAAAATATACACACAAGCAAGTTGGTACTTGGGTTTGTTTTTGCATGGCAATATGAATGCTAATAGTGGCTTCAAGATGCTTTTTTCTTTTTTAAGGTGACCCTATGTACACACATCAGGGTCATATGGAAGTAAGTAGAAATGGAGAGGAAGAAGGGACATTTATATCAAATTTCCCACAAAAACAATCGTAGCTGATATTCTAAGATATCTCCTGTGTTTCAGAAGCATAGAAGGCTTCTAGGAGCAAAACAGGCTATGTTGTGAATAATTTTAACATAAAATTTTCACAAAAGTTATTACACTCATTTTTTAATAGTTTGTCCTTTTCTAGTTTATATTAGCTCTTTTCCAATCTCTATAATATAAAGTAATTGATTCACTTGGCAAAAAGTCCACTAAGCATAAAGGAAAAAAGCATGTGCTAAACTGGAATGCATGATTTCAAGTCCCAAATCCACTCCTTATTAGTTGTGTGACTCTGAGTGACTCCTCTGTGCCTCAGTTTCCCCCTCTTAAAATGGGGATAACCAAGCTCAGAGTATGGCTGTAAAAATAGAGTTAAACATTCAATAAAGGTTAGTTTCCACTTTTTTAAAAAAGTACATACCTTCACTAGAGCACTCACTTGCCATGTACTATACTACCATTAATCAATATATTTGTTGAATGACTATCTCATAGAAGTATGAAGCTAAAGGACATAAAACACATGAAAGTATCTGATACACTCCTGGTACTCAATAACTGAACAACTTAGCACAATGACTGGCAATATCAGATATTCAATAAATATTACTAGTATGCATGCTGAAGTTAATCTGAGATTAAGGTCTCTTCCCATATATGTAGAATTAATTAAATGGTGAAAATGGTTAGAAAAATAATCATCTCAGTTTGGACACTTGATTCACACAAATAAATCTAAGTAATTACATATGGACTAGACATAATAATGAATATAAATTGAAAAAACACAAGTATTTGTAGATGAACAAAGAAACTTTAGTTCCCAAAGCAGATAAGAGAAACATTAGTATACAAAAAAATGCAAGCCAGAACAAAGTAAAGATTTTGTTTTATTAGTGCTTATATTCCTAACATAATAAAATGGAAATGTAATGAAACAAGTAGAATGGAAAATAAAAGTAGAGAGAGACGTATCAACATGTAGAAATATAAATCTAAGACAGCAAGATAACAGTACAAGTGAAGGCAATAATAGACAAAATCTTCTCAGTGATTTGTAAAGTAGCTAGTAGCCCGACTACTTCTTTTAAGAAGAAACATATCAAATACCCACTAGAAAATACTTCCTAAATAGGCACTTCAAGAAACCTAAAAAGTCCTGAGTTTCACAGACAAATCCATAGAACAAGAATCTGTAGGAAGTCAGGCATGTATACAAGTGCAAGGTAGAACCTTGTTATGGGGAAAAGGAGGGTAAATGCACAATATAAAAAGAAACTCAGGAATCATTCTGATCATAAAAGTTGTGATGATTACAAATAATAATGACAACAGCAGCTAATCTTAGTAGAGAATGTAATGTTTAGGCACCATGTTAAGCATTTAAATGTATGAATTACATTTAATTATCATGACACTACCGTAAAGAACTATGTTAATCAAATTCATTTAAAAAATGAAGAAACTGGGGGTGTCTAGGTGGCTCAGTCAGGTAACTGTCCGACTCCTGGTTTTGGCTCAGGTCATGATCTCATGGGTCGTGGGACTGAGCTCCATGTTGGGCTCCAAGCTGACAGCACAGAGCCTACATGGGATCTTCTCTCTCTCTCATTCTCTACCTGTCCCCTGCTTGCTCTCTCTCAAGATGAATACATGATTTTTTTAAAAAATGAAGAGGGGAGCCTGGGTGGCTCAGTTGGTTGGGTGGCCAACTTCGGCTCAGGTCATGATCTCGCAGTCTGTGAGTTCGAGCCCCATGTTGGGCTCTGTGCTGACAGCTCAGAGCCTAGAGCCTGCTTCAGATTCTGTGATTCCTTCTCTCTCTGCCCCTCCCCTGCTCAAGCTCTCTCTGTCTCAAAAATAAAATAAACATTAAAAAAAATTTTTTTAAATGATAAAACTATGGATTAGACAGGCAAAATGACTTTGTCAAGGTCACACAACTTTTACTGAGGGAACAGGATTTGAAAGCAGCCTGACTTCAAAGCCCATGGTACCTATTTATGTTGTTAGTAAAATAAGTAAATGAAAAAGAAAAGGCTTAGATTAAAAAAGTTATCATAGAGAAGAAAAAATAAAAGACCCCATTCATATGTAAGGCTAATAACCAATTAGGAGAACATCACTATACAAACAAATGTCTATTTAATGTTATTTTAAATAAGAGATGCTCAAATTCATTAGCCATTTCTATATAATAAAGTTACATGTATGTGACTCTGATGGCCTAACAATTTTGCAAATTAATATAGACTATTCTTTTTCAGATTTTTAATCTCTGATTTTTCATAAATAGTCTGCCAAAGAGAATGTTAATTATCCTTTAATTTTAAAAAAACCTGTGAATAATATAACTGATGTAACAAAAGCTTTAATTTCATATTAAAATGCTTATTAACTGACTTAGAAATAATGTTTTAGTTTCATCAACAAATAACATGTATATAGTACTTCATTTAGCTTTATTGACATTTTTAAAAATATCAAAAAAATTTCTATCATACCTTATTTGTTCTGGAGTGCCTCCTGATGTTGCATTAGTTATAGCCCAAGCTGCTTCTTTTCTGGTGCGAAACTCTGCTTTCTGAAGAATCTCAATCAAAACAGGAAAAATATTTGCATCTATAACAGCCTGCAGAGGAAAAATTGATACAGCATAATCAATGTGAATTCTGTTTTAAACATATTAGTACGTGGCTTCAAAATGTCAGGCTTTTTGGAAAAACCTCTGGTAATCTTTCTAATCTTTCAACTTTCATGATTGGAGAATATATTAACAGAATATTAATTTTAAAGGTGATAAAGCACAAGGTGGATAACTGATCAAAATGGGTAAGTAATTTTTGACTCAAGAAGCTTGGTAAGATTCTAATCACTACTTAAAAGCTTAGAGAAGAAGATCATTACCTAATTTACTTAAAACTAATATTAATCCATCCTTTTTATTTATTTATTTTTAATTAAAAAAATTTTTTTAAATTTTTATATTTTTAGTGTTTTGTTTTGTTTTTTTTTTTAATTTATTTCTGGGAGAGAGAGATACATTGTAAGTAGGGGAAGATCAGAGAGAGGGAGACACAGTCCAAAACAGGCTCCAGGCTCTGAGCTAGCTATCAGCACAGAGCCCAATGCAGGGCTTGAACCCATGAATCATGAGAACCTGACCTGAGCCAAAGTCGGACGCTTAACAGACTGAGCCACCCAGGTGCCCCTAATCCATCCTTTTTAAAGGCTAGCCATATGTGTCCAGCACTGTAGCCTATTTTATGCACACAAACACACACAATTCTCACTAGACTACTACAAATGAATGTTATTACTTTAGAGGAGAAAAGGCTATGTTCCTTAAAATACTTCTCAAGAATCTTTTTAAGTAACTCACTAAAAAAAAAGTCCCTGATAAAATGCTGACTTTTATCCAAACTGACTCATGAAATCTTGCTGTTTTCTTAGATCTGAAAGGTATTTACCTGAATCTGAGCTCTATTTCCAGCAGTGATGTTAGAAACAGTCCAGCATGCTTCTTTTCTGATTGATTCCTTTGGGCTACTCAACAAGTGTAAGAGACATGGTAACGCAGAGCAATTCAAAATTACCTAAAACAAAAATCAGAAATGGAAACAAAGTTTTATAGCAACAAAAAACCAAACAAAACACCCAAAAAGCAAAAACAAACCAAAAAACACTAATGATTTTAGAAATATAAAAACCAATCTGAAAAACTAAATTAGGAAAAGAGAGATTCTTTTCAAAGTAAAATTTAGGTTTTTGCTATCTTCTACTCTCCCTCTTTGCCAAAACTCATCTAATGCTGGTGCAGTAAAGTGCCCTGTCAAACCACCAAAATGCGAATAAGCAGTACACTCAGAGGTGTACCCTTCAAGGTTAGGAATACACTCAGAGTTCAACTGATATAACAGTTTGAAGAGAGAATTTAGTGACTGGTCAGGATCTGACCCCTAGGTTTACCAAATAAAATGATGGGGGAAAAAAATCAAACAGGTCGAAAGTACCTGCTTCTATAAATGGTAAAACAAAACAAAACAAAAAAACTCAACGTATAGAATAAGATAATTTTTTTCATTAAAATGTCTACTTTTCTTTTATAAAATAGTATGTTCTGCTTGTCTCTTTACATTCTTCATTCCATGGCATAATTATGTTCCTTTTTTCAGAATACCCACAATGATTTATATTAAACTTACTTGGTGAAGAATGCATGAAGCAGTATATGAAAACTTTGCTGTAAAGAGTATACATTTAAAGGGCATTCTCATTTAAAGAGCCATTTCAAATTAGAAACTATCAATTACTAAGAATCGACTATTTATCATAAGTATCTAAACAGGACTTGAAAAAATTAAAACTGAAAGATAATATGTAAATTAGAATAAAGGTTATTTTATGATCACAAACAAAGGAAAATCTAATATGTTACAGAGTTTAAGGTTATTTTATGATGGCGAACAAAGGAAAATCTAATATGTTACAGAGTTTAAGTTCCTGTCTTCAAGAAAGACTGCCCCAGATGTAATCTTGATATTACACCTTTTTTGGTATCTCACCACTCTCCAAAAGACAGAAAGACAGACACAGACAGATGTAGTTAAATGTTTCCATTCCTTTCTCATAAATTAGATCTTCAATCTACTAAAAAAAGGTACTCCCATTTCCAACCAATCCATTCTAACCTGTTTATAATCACCCTCTCCTTGATAGTTCCTCTTCCAGTCAAGCTTAATGTCTCTTAAACACAACTTACATGTCTATTTCTGTACCTATGGTCATATAAATCTCTTCTGGTTTACTTAAATTCTTCTTCACCTTTAAGATACAGCTTTAATTAGAACCCCTTTATAGAATCTACAAAGATTTCTCAGCACAGTGATCACTTCTTAAAATCTTTATAGCAACCTTCTTTCTTATATTTCCTTACATCAATATAAATCTAGAATAGTGCTTTCACATAGAGGTTTTTTTTAATGTTTATTTATTTTTGAGAGAGAAAGAGATACAGAGTGCAAGCGAGGAGGGACACGCAGAATTTGAAGCAGGCTTCAGGCTCCGAGCTATGAGCACAGAGCCCGATGCACGGCTCAAACCCACAAATTGCGAGATCATGATGTAAGCCAAAGTTGAATGCCCAACCGACTGAACCACCCAGGCACCCCCACATAAAGGTATTTGAGGTTGATCACTTATCAAGAATATGCTTATTACCATTACATTGTAGATGTCTGTTTAGTTATGGCAATGCTAAAGTCTTGATTAATATGTAACCAAGTAGTATGAAACTAGGCGCATTTCTTAAAATCCATTATGTTAACGATTTATCATATTAAATCTGAACTCACCTGTGTTTGAATATCATCACCAGTCACAATATTACCAACTGCTCTTAATGCAGGTGATACAACTTTATAATCATTGTGCCTAAAAATTAAAAAAAAAAAAATCAACTTACATGCTATAGAAGAGTTAAAATTTACAAAAAAGACTGCAAATATAGGACAAAAATTTCTGTATACTCTTCACTCAGAAATCCCATTCAAGTTTCACTAATTACTCCAGTAACACCTCTATAATAACGAATCTAATCCAGGATTATGTATTACACCCAGCTGTCATGTCTCTAGTCTCTTTCAATTCAAAAAAGTTCCTGTTTTTCTTTACGATCTTGACATTTTTGATGATGATAAGCCAGTTATCTGGTTTTCTCCAATGTTTCCAATGATTAAGACACGACTTATATACTTTTAGCTGAGACATCACAAATGCTATAGTCTTTTCATTACATAGTATAGCATCTGATTATGTTTTGTCTCCAATAGTGGTGCTGAACTCCAATCAATTACGATGGTATCTATCAGATTTCTCCACTTCAACATTACTGTTTTTCCCTTTATAATTAATTTTTTTTTTCTGAGAGAGAGAGAGAGAGAAAGACAGCATGAGCAGGGGAGGGTCAGAGAGAGAGGGAGACAAAGAATCTGAAGCAAGCTCCAGTCTCTGAGCTAACTGTCAACACAGAGCCCGAACCCACAAACCATGAGATCATGACATGAGCCGAAGTCAGACGCCCAACTGACTGAGCCACCCAGGCACCCCTATAATTAATATTTTTGAGAGAATATACTTTTTTTTAAATTCTTTTTAATGTTTTATTTATTTCTAGAAGAGAGAGAGAGAGAGACAGCGTGAGCAGGGGAGGGTCAGAGAGAGAGGGAGTGACAGACTCTGAAACAGGCTCCAGGCTCTGAGCTGGCAGTCAGCACAGAGACCAACGCGGGGCTCGAACCCACGAACCACGAGATCATGACCTAAGCAAAAGTCGGACGCTTAACCGACTAAGCCACCCAGGCGCCCCGAGAGAATATACTTTTAGACTAAGTAAAATCCCATACCTTATCCCACTTTTACCACTTCTTTCACCATTTCTTGATATGTACTGTCTGAATTATTATTAATATTGTTGCCAATGATGATTTTCTAATATTATTTCAACTACATGTCTTTTCTATCTATTGATCTACCTACTTATTTTAGTGTGGACTCATGGGCTCCTATTTTATTCAATAAGTTAGTTTGGTTCCTGTTAACAAACAGTAGTAAAAACCAAGATGTGGTGTGTTCAGCTTTTAGTATAGATCTGTCTCTACTCCCAGGCCCTGTAAGATGATACACACACACACACACACACACACACACACACACACACTTACATATACATTTATTTCTACATCTATCTCTTTATGTTAAAAGCCATGAGTTCACATTCAAATCTCCAGTTCTAATCTAATGCCACAAGATTATTTTGGCTTTCCTCCCTTCCATATTTGAATCTCCATTCTCTTAGAATAAGAAAATGGCTTCTTTTATCATAATCTCCCTACACATGACCAATCTTCTGATCCAGCTAGGCTACTGTGCATCATGTGTTAGCTCCAAACCTTGCTCCAGCCTGCTTGCTATTCTGGTCTAGTGGGTGCCACCCTCAAGCTTGAGTCCTGATACCCTCATTAGATCTTGTCCTCAGACTGGAGCCACAACCCCTTATTATCAGAACTCTCTTCTTTATACTGTCTGCCTTGTTTGGTTTTTTGACAAAAAGAAGGAATATAATAAATTTTTTAAAAGAAAAGGATGAAATAACCATCTTTAATAATATATATATATATTTTTTTTAAATTATTATTTTAGAGTGAAAGAGGAAGCAGGGGTGGGGCACAAGAAGAAAGAGAAAGAATCCCAAGCAGGCTCCACACTCAGTGCAGAGCTCAACAAGGGGCTTGCTTGATCCCATGACCCTGGGATAATGACTGGAGTTGAAAACAAGAGTCAGATGCTCAACTGACTGAGCCACCCAGCCACTCCAAGAAACTATCTTTTTAAAACAAATTGTCTCACAGGTTTTTAACTTCTTTTATAGAAAATCTGTTCTTTTTAAATCAGGTAGGAATAACAGCCCGGCAAGTGAAATACTAACACAACTGAAATACTGAATGTTTTCATTACGTGGACTTTTACATAAATTAATTACTGTAATGAACAATTAACTAGAGTATAAGTTCTGTGAGAGCAAGTACCGTGTTCTATACTTCGTTAGCAATATCTTGTACAACATTCCAGCAGGTAATAGGAATTCCATACATACCTGCTGAATTAAATCCCTCCCACTCATAAAGAGATTAAAATTAATGAAATATTTTAATGAAATGATTAGTTACAACTAGAGGATATGAAATACAACTTTAAGGGTCAGTTCTGCATTACAGCTATTCTGAAAAGTGGAGTTGATGGCTTTTTAATCCTTCCGGAAGATAGTGACTCTTCAGATAGTTACAAGGCCATTACTCTACCTGCTAGACTTAATACACAATCATACAATTATTCATATAAATTATAGTTACATCAAAAGTTCCACCAATCTTCGACAGACTCCAGAATCAATGACTGCTTGAATTTTATCATTGGGTCCATCAGAGAGATAAGAAAGGGCCCAGCACACATCTGCTAATACATCTGGGTCACTGCTAAACAATAATCGTGACAAGACATTTAAGCAAGGTGAAACCTGGAAGAAAAGAAAAGGGCCAATATTTAATAATTTTCTCTAAGACCTAGTTTCCTTAGGAAAATATAGAAATTCATTTTAAAACAAAAATTTAATGCTACAAAAATACCACAGAAATTAAAACATTCCATTGTTTTAAAATTATGATCAGATATATGAACACGTAACTGTTTCCAATTAATTGTAAAAAAGATATGTGGTAATTTAAAGTTTTTTAGGGTAATGAAATACATATTAGAGATCCCCTATGTTTAAATCATATAGATACACACCCCAAAAAGGCATACCACAACAGAAGGAAGTAAAAATGTTAAAAGTGTTTAATATAATAATCATGGAATATGATCCAACAATAAATCTCAACCTACTTATTCTATGTAGATTATTGGAAATAAACCTAATAACAGTGGCGGACTAAAGGTGTAGAAAATGCAAAAAGAAATATGAAGGGTTTTTAAATGGAAGTCACTAATAAACTGTACTTCTTAATGTAATGAAACCCTGAACAAAAAAAACCCAAAAAATAAAAAACAAAACCAAAAAAAACACACACATACACACACGACAACAGAGACTTAAGCCCCCTAGCATTAATATTACAACTAATCAGCTAATCACTTCACTTCTCTGAGATTCAGTTTCCAAATCTGTGAAACAAAGGCTGAACTGAATTAAATAAATTCTATGATCTTTCCTTTCTCAAATCAGACAGACCTACATTCACTAGCTGTACGACCATGGGCAAATTACCAAACATCTCTGAAACCCAATTTCTTCATTCATAAAACAGGGATAATACAGTCCTGTTAAATTAGTAAGAATGCACATAGCATCTTCGAACGGTGCTGGCATATAGTAAACATGGAGACGGAGATGTTGGCTCTTTTTATTGCCATAATCAGTATTGATTCTATATTCCTTAAAGTTTTCATTTACTTATTTTTGAGAGAGAAAGAGTGTGTGCATGTACACACACACACGCACGCAAGTACGGGGTGGGGGCAAGAGAGATGGAGACAGAATCCCAAGCAGACTGCAGGCTGTCAGGGCAGAACCGGACATGAGGCTCAAACTCACGAACCATGAGACCATAACCTGAGCTGAAATTAAGAGTCAGACGCTTAACCAATTGAGCCACCCAGGTGCCCCAAAAGTTTTCTTTTTTAATCAGCAACCTAAAGTACCCCTTAGTCTATCTCAGAAAAGGGCTGTATGCTAAATTTAGATATGCTACAAAAAAAGAGTAATGATAGCTTTTTCATGCTCTAGTATTTTATTTTTTTTATTAGAAATTTTTTTAATGCTTACTTATTTTTTGAGAGAGAGAGAGAGAGAGTGTGAGCAGGGGAGGGGCAGACAGAGAGGGAGACATAGAATCCAAAGCAGGCTCCAGACTCTAAGCTGTTAGCACAGAGCCTGACTCAGGACTCTAACTCATGGGCCATGAGATCATGAACTGAGCTGAACTCAAGCACTGAACTAACTGAGCCATCCGGGTGCCCCTCATGCTCTAGTATTTTAGATGAATTTTTTTCTTTACCTCAATTTTAAAGACTCCCACGACCTAAACTATAACCTTCTGAAAATACTTATCAATCATCTCTACTGGGCCCTCTCCTGTAATGATGATACCAGGGCCCAGGAACAAGAAACAGTTTCTTAAAATAGATGTGTTTGTAAGTTAGTAAAACAAATCTGCACAACTGTATCCTTCCTAAACAATCATGCCTTTACCTTTGCCAACACATTCTCTTCCTTGAACAGAGAAATGTGTAAATCATTTTTAAAGCAAATATAAATTTTTGAGTTAAAAAATTCAGCATACCTGATCCATATCTTTTTACTGACTTGAAAAAAAATGAAGTACTACAATTTTTAAAGGAAGCAAAATAAAAACATTTCTGACTCATTATCTTCTCAGGACAAGGAAAAGAAGAAAGAGAAATACAAATCCCATCTCTGAGGAGTGCAGTAGGCATTTGTAATCCTGCCTATAATATATTGTGGACAGGATTATAAATGGAGAGGGAAAGATAGCACCTCAATGCCTGGAGAGGTAGCTACCAATAAGAAGAAAGCTAATGTAAAAGAAGAAGAAGAAAGCTAATTTATCATCCAACTATTACCCCAAAGGGTCTCAAGAATCAGGGACACCAGGCATCACAGAAGGCACAGAAGAAGAACAGGGTTTGTGTTTTTTAAAAATTTTTTTAAATGTTTTATTTATTTCTGAGAGACAGACAGCATGAGCAGGGGAGGGTCAGAGAAAGAGGGAGACAAAGAATATGAAGCAGGCTCCAGGCTCTGAGCTAGCTGTCAGCACAGAGCCTGACGGGGGGCTTGAACCCATCAACTGCAAGATCATGACCTGAACCGAAGTCGGATGCTCAACCGACTGAGCCACCCAGGCGCCCCAGAGAACAGTGTTAAAACAGAAAGAAAGCTTAAAAATCTAAATGAGAAACAGGTTAGACTCTGGGTCTCTATCATATAGGTAGGTGTCTAATATTCTCAATGCTACCAAAGATTAGAGGTTTATCTTAAGGAGAAACTGAACAAAAAGTTAACTACTTTTTGTAGTTAACAGTTTGTAACTGAACACTGGGGTATCAGGCATAGACAACGTTGAAATAAAGCACAAGATCAGAAATTCCAGAGTAAAAGTTTACACACCGACTGAAGAAATCCTCCAGCCCTCTTCCAATACCCAATTCTCACATCTCCAGTAGTATTATCTATGCCACATCTCAACCCAATCTATATACTTTCTAGTAGGGGACTGGAAAATCTGTCTCTGGAGAAACAGAATGGTCTCAGAAAACATACTGAAATTTGGAGTTCCTCAGAGAAAACATGGTTTAGCTGCCCAATTAACTCTATAATGAAGTCCATGAAATGATGAGTTTATACACCCATCTATATATCCATTTTCCATTTAGCTTTTAGTGCCTGCCTCCTAAGTATGTCAAGAGTGTCCAAGATCACTAGTTAAATGAGGAGACCCACCCCAGTAGAAAAAAAAAAGAGACCAAGACAAACCATACACAAAACAAAAACATACAAAGAAACAGACACCAGAAAAAAAAAAACTTCAAAAACACTGTAAATCCGATAGATAATTTGCTAGGTCCATAAAAGAAGCTATATAACACCCATATAGAACTCTATATATAAATGAGCAATCAGAGAACAAAAAAAAATTCTTGAAAATATAAAATGATTGTAAAAATAAAAATTTCACCAAAAGTTAGTGATAAAGAAAAGATCTCTCACAGAAAAAGTACCCAACAAAAATCTTAAGCCCTATTAATGTTACACTGTAAGTTTGGAATACATAAGTAAACGAGATAAAGATTCTTAACTCTGAGGAGTTTATATTTTAATGGAATAAATATTCTTTAAAATTAATATGTATAATAAATTTTAAAAAATATATACTATGTTAAAGGATGCTGAGAAAAACAGAGTAAAATGTGGAAGTCAGTGGCTGTGGGCAGTGACAGATTACATTATTATATACAGTAGTCAGAGTAGAGCTCATGGAAAAGGTGACTTATAAGCAAGCATTTAAGGAAGACAAGGGAATTAGGGAGATATTAAGCAGATGTTAAGCATTAAGTTGTAGGCCAATGGTTCTCAAAGTGTGGTCCATGGACCCTTGGAAGATTCCTGAAACTTTCAGGGGGATCTTTAACGCCAAAACCATTTTCATAATTATACAAACACATATGGGTATTTTTCACTTTGTGGACATTTGTACTAATGCTATAAAAGCAATAGTGGGTAAAACTATCAGTACCTCAGTATAAATTAAGGCAGTGGCACCAAAATGTACCATCGATCTTTGTATTCTTTACCTCCACATACTTGGAAGGGGAGAGGAAAGCCAGTTTCATTTAAGAATTACTTTGTAGAAGCACTAAAAACTACTAATTGTATTAAATCTCAACTCCCAAACATATGTGTTTTGAATACATTATAAGATGAAATGGGAAATATGCACATATAGATACACATATATATACATATATAAAATATATTTTAAGGGGCACCTGGATGGCTCAATAGGTTAAGCAGCTGACTCTTGATTTCAGCTCAGGTCATGATCTCACAGTTCGTGACTTTGAGCCCCACGTTGGGCTCCAGGCTGACAGTGCATAGTCTGCTTGGGATTCTGTCTCTCTCTCTCTCTGCCCCTACCCTGTTTGTGAGCTCTCTTTTCTTCTCTCTCTCAAAAATAAATAAATAAACATTTTTAAAAATAACCCAATACTGTTACTAAGCAGAGAAAAAGGAAAAACCAAACATGGCATTTTATTAAAAAAAAATTTTTTTAATGTTTTTATTTATTATTGAGACAGAGAGAAACAGAGCATGAGTGGGGGAGGGGCAGAGAGAGAGGGAGGCACAGAATCCAAAACAGGCTCCAGGCTCCGAGCTGTCAGCACAGAGTCCGATGCGGGACTCGAACCCATGAACTGAGCCAGAGTCGGATGCTTAACCGACTGAGCCACCTAGGTGCCCCAAAAATGGTATTTTAAACTAACTATACATTTACAACTATTCTCTCATAATTATTATTTCAACATATACACATACAGATGCACACTATCTTAAAACCAGAGGGAAAGAAACAAAAAAGGAATGTATTTTAAATAAAGAAATTTAAAATGAGAAGCAATGCATAAACCAAAGTTCACAGAGTAAAAACTCAATTAAAATAGTTATCCCACACCATTTTTAAGAGGTAAAAAAAAATGTATTACTATGATTGCTTAAATCATAAATACAATTAGCAAGCAAATTCTACATATGCAAGTCTAAACATATAAACAGCTGGTGAAAGATTCACTACCATCAGTTGAATTGACCCTTATCATCTCCTCAAACAAAATATGAACATTTTCTTTCCTTCCAATTCTATAATGACCACTGCCAAATAATCAGCTTTTTTATATAGGTTTTGTTCTTAAAGACTGTTTGAGGGGTACCTGTGTACCACATAATATTCTTTTCCTTGTATTAAACCCAGTCCAAATACTCATTTCTCCTTCTACTATTAAAATGAAAATTGTAAAAAATCCTTTTATCCTGAATAAGTCCATTGCTGCAACATTTTTTCTAACATGCTTTCTCCAGGAGCTGTGGTACAACTTACTCAAAACTTTTCTAAGATATATATCTATTAAACCAAATTTCTGATTAAAATAATAATTTTGTTCCCCCTTTTAATTTTAGCCTACTTTACAATGTTCTAAACTAGCTTTTTAGTCATATTACGCACTTGTCAATACATATGGAATAAAATAGGCATAGACAGTTGTGTAAGAATTTTAACTATGATTGAACCCATAACATGCTATGCAGTATGGTGAAAGATCAACAGAACCATGGTACCAATGAGATTTTAAAGTCATGTTGGCAGTTCAGATGAAATGTTGCCAAATCATCTATTTTTAAAACTGGTATGGTTAAAGTATAAATGAGAAGGTATACTAATTCATGCATCATATTTTTGAATTAGGAACTTAATTTATTTTTGCCCCCAGAAACTTTATCACTAAATCCTCACCAAATTTTGAGCTCTTGTGAGTGCTACAATGTTCTCCTTTAATTAATAGATACTGAATTCAGAAGAAGTATAATGGCAGCCCAGAAATTTACCTACATTCTAACTTTTAACAGTATCTTACTGGTGAGACAATAGAACTAGATTGGGAATTATTTAATAATCTACTCTTTATAATAATTTAGCAGAATATGAGCAGATGGGAAAAAATGTTCTAAATAGATAAAATGTACATTGGGAAAGCACAAGCCACTGTGGAGTAATTACTTTTCAAATTTTACAACTAATAGTACACTCAGATGAATCACCTTACCCTTTTTAGGGGCTTCAATTTCTTCCAAATGAAAAGAATCAGACTAGAAGTTTTCTAAAGTCAACACTAACATACATAAACATCAAGTCACAATGTGACAATGGTTGCAAAGAGGAAATCATGAGGTAAAGTAAGAGCAAAAGGGAAACCTCTTTTCCACTGTATATCTCAATATTGTCTAGTCAATAAAGAAAATAATTACTAAGAAAAAGCATAAAGTTCCTTCACTCTCTAAAAATCTATTATAAGGAGACTTAAACATTTATATAGATAGATTCCTTAATTTGTATATTTTACTCCTACCTTACTAAAGTTTGGAGGAGGATTTTTCCCTCTACATAAATTTGAGAGGGCCCATACAGCATTTCTGGTTGTTGTAAGTCTGTTTGAATTTGTTAATAACCTGCCAAAAAAAAGAAAAAGAAAAAATTGTCACTTTACATTCATTTTTTTCTCTTTAGCTATTTTATAACATAAAGTATAAAAATTCTCAGTATATTTTATAAGGTAGTCAAACCTAAGAGGTAAACTAGGAAAGGGGAATTTTAAATATCATTGAATCCCCAGAAATAAAAATAAATATATCACTGCTTTACTTTTAAAAACTTGAATATATGATCTAAATGGATTCTTATAAGATATAAAACATGTTCAAAATAAAGGCTGTCATGGAAAACTGAATTATTTCTATATACTTTAAAAAGAGTATTAAATTACTTTTTTTAACCATGAAAATAATACACTATACTTTTAGGAAGCAAGGTATACAGGGTCAAGTCGAATGCAGATCAGCTACTGAGAAGAGATGTTTTGCTCTGAATAGACTGTCTATCAGTATATTTGATCTGCAACCTGCTATAGGTAAAGAGAAACTAGGTTTAAAAAAATCTCTATTCTGTAGTGACATCAGCAAAAATGGTAGAGAAGGTAACTTTGGCAGCTTATTCTCCAGTAGAAAAATATATATAAACAGCAACATAAAAAACTTGCAGCCTTTGTCAGAATCAGCTTTATCAGAACTCTTGAAGATAGGGGCACCTGCGTGGCTCAGTCAGTTAAGCGTCCGACTCTTAGGGTTTCACATCAGGTCATGATCTCACAATTATTATGAGATGGAGCCTAACCCCAACTCTGGAAAACAATCAAAAGTTTACAAAGAAAACTTTTAACTAGGAAAGAGCTAAAATGTGGTAGGCTTGAAACAGTATAATCTACCCTTGCCCAATCCCCTGTCCAGTCTGAGCAGTCTTAAAGAAGAAAGCTAGAGTTGCCCACTCTGAGTTCCTGGTTCCAAAAAGGAGCTCAAGAGACTTGTTTCCAAGAAATTGTGTCTGTCCGTTTTGATCTATGTGGGTGCTGCCTGAAGGACTGGTGCAGGGGGCTTGCCTTTGTTTTGTCTAACTGGGAAGTCCTCATTAAGATCGCAGCTAACTTCTCATCAAAATTCACAGAGGACAGAAGGCAATGAGATTATATATTTAAACTTCTGGGGGAAAAAAAAAGCTGTCAACTAAGAATTCTATATCCCGCAAGAATTCTCTATCATGTTAAAACTATCCTTCAAAATAATCAAAGAGAAAGTAAAAGATTCCTGCAAAAGTGGCTGAGAAAATTCCTCACTAGTAGATCTGCTTTATAAAAGTGACTAAAAGTCACTTACACTTATGCACAGAAAACAATAACTTAAAACCCTAAGAAAAAAAAGAACACTGCTAAAAATAACTACATAGGTTAATATAAGAGGCAATAGTTTTTATTTGCAATTTTTTTCTATATGATTTAAAAAATACAGTGATAATTATAAGTCTATGTTAAGCGACATACAATGTTATTTTTGATAATAACAAATTAAAGGGGATAGGACAGTGATATACAGGAGCAGAGTTTTTTCATAATATTGAGATTAAATTGGTATTAAACAACGTTATTGTATGTTTAAGATGTTATCTGTACTCCCTAGATTAATCACTAAGAAGATTACTAAAAAATATACAGAAAAGGAAATGAGAATAGAATCAATACCATATCTTACCACAAAAAAATCAAACACAAAAGAAGGCAATAAGGAATTGAGAAACAAAAAGGATACAAAACATACAGAACACAATAAAATGGCAGAAGTCTTTCCTTGTCCGTGTTTATGCTGAATACAAATGGATTAAAGCCTTCAATTAAAAGGCAGTGACTGGCAGAATACAGTTTTAAAAAAGCAAAAAATAAATAAGCAACAACCTATAAGGCTTCTATAGTACACTTTATAAGATACTCACTTTAGATTTAAAGACAAAAAGAGGCTGAAAGTGAAGGGATGGAAAAAGATATTCTATGCAAATAGTAAGCCAAAGAGAGCCAGGGCAGTTATACTAGTAACAGACAAATAGACTTCAAGTCGAACATTATTTTAAGGTGGGGTGCCTGGGTGGTTCAGCTGATTAAGCTTCTGACTCTTGGTTTCAGCTCATGTCATGATTCACGGTTCATGGCTTTGAGCCCCAAGTCTGGCAATGCACTGACAATGCAGGACCTGCTTGGAATTCTCTCATTCTGCACCCTCTCCCCCCACACACTCGCTCACTCTCTCTCTTAAAATAAAAAAGAAGTTACTTTAAGAGACAAATACATATATTATATATTGATAAAAAAATCAATCCATAATGAAGGTATGACATTTAAAACTTATAAAACTTAACAACACAGTCAAGTGTACAAAGCAAAAATGGACAGACCTGAAGGGAGAAATACACAGTGATACAATCATAGTTAGAAACTTCAATACACTGTTTTCAATAATGGATAGAACTGGATAGAAGATCCAAGAAAACAGAGGACTTCAACAACACTATAAACCAACTAAATATAAAAGACACCTATACAATATTCAACTCAGTAAAGGCAGAATATATATTCTTCTCAAGTGCACATTAAACATTCCCTAGGATATACTGTAGGTTAGATCTCAAGAAATCCAGGAACAAATTTCACTAAAATAGCATCAAAAAAAAAAAAAAAACTTAGGAATAAATTTAACCATTTCTATACACTGAAAACTAGTTCATATGGAATTGCAAGGAACCCTCTATAGCTAAAACAATCTTAACCAAAGAAAGGAAACTGAAGGACTCACATGTTCTGATTTCAAAATTTACCACAAGGCTACTGAAATCAAAACAATATGGTACTGGCATAGGACAGATGTACAGATCAATGGAATAGAATTGAAAATCTAGAAATGAACCCACATACGTGTATAGTCAACGCATTTACAACAAAGGTGTCAAGACTGGTCAATGGGGAAGGAATATTCTGCTCGACAAATCATGCTGGGATAAGCAAATGCCCAAATGCACCACACTTCATATAAAAAAAAATAACTATAAATGGATCAAATATGCAAATATAAGGGCTAAGACTGTAAGATTCCTAGAAGAAAACATAATGGCAAATATTAACAACCTTAGATTTGGCAATGGTTTCTTATATATGACACCAAATGCATAAGCAACAATAAGAAAAAAATAGATAAATTGGATTTCATCAATTATAAAACTTTTGTGAATTAATGGACACTTTGATAAAGACACCCAGAGAATGCAAAAAAAAAAAAAAATAGTAAATCATTTATCTGATAAGAATCTATTCAGAAAAATGAAGAATACTTTTTTTTTAATATTTATTTTTGAGAGAGACAGAGTACAAGCAGGGGAGGGGCAGAGAGAGGGTGACAAAGAATCCAAAGCAGGCGTCAGGCTCTGAGCTGTCAGTGCAGAGCATGATGTGGGTCTCAAACTCACAAACCATGAAATCATGACCTGAACCTAGTTGGACACTTAACTGACTGAGCCACCCAGGCGTCCCTATGAAGAATTCTTGTAACACAACAAAGAGATAAATAACTGAATTTAAAAAAACATTCAAAAGACTTAATAAACATTTCTCCAAAGAAGATATACATATGGCCAACAAACCTATGAAAAAATGTTCAATGTAAATCAAAGCAAAATGAGATACCCTCATAGCTGCTAAGGTGGCTTAAATCAGAATCAAAATAACAGATAAGTGCTGGTGAGAACATGGAAAACCTGAAACTCTCATACATTGCTGGTGGGATGTAAAATGGTACCGCTGCTATGAAAAACAATTTGGTGATTCTTAAAAAGTTAAAGATAGAGTTACCAAATGACCCAGCAATTCTATTCATAGGTAAATACCTAAAAAGAATGAATGTTCATAGGATTTCTATATAACCAAAAGTTGGGAGAAAAAACCCCAAGTGACCATTAACTGATGAATGAGAGAATAAAATACAATAGAATATTATTCGGCCATAAAAAAAAATGAAGTACTGATACATGCTATAAAATGGATGAACCCTGAAAACAATATGCTAAGTGAAAGAAGCCAGATACAAAAGGTCACACAATGTATGATTCCATTTATATGAAATGTCCAGAATAACCAAATCCACAGATAGCAGATTAGTGATTTCCCAGAGCTGATGCTATGAGGAAATAGGATATGACAGCTTAATGGGTATTGTAGTTTCCGCTTGGAGTGTTAAAAGTTCTAGAACTAAATAGTTGTGATAGGTACAAAATACTGCTTAATGCCAGTGAAGTGTACATTTTAAAACAGTTAAAATGGCAAATTTTATGTTATATATCTTTTATCATATACAAAAAAATCTGTTCTACATGTTTTCCTACAGTCTGTGAAACCTCCTAAAACTGTAACACATTTAGAAATAAAATAATTATACTGACTTTTAAAAAAAAATTTTTTTAATGTTTATTCATTTTTGAGAGAGAGACACAGAGCATGAGCAGGGGAGGGGCAGACAGAGAGGGACACACAGAATCTGAAGCAGCCTCCAGGCTCTGAGCTGTCAGCACAGAGCTCAACACAGGACTCAACTCATGAACCATAAGATCATGACTTGAGCCAAAGTCAGATGATTAATTGACTGAGCCACTCAGGTGCCCCTGTACTGACTTTCTATATCAGGGATTGAGAAACTCTTTTAATAAATATTTTAGCCTTTGCAGGCCTTTCTCTGTAGTAACTATACAACTGTGCTGATATAGCATGAAAGCAACCATAGATATTAAGTAAGCAAATGGGAATGACTGTGTTTCAATAAAATTTAATTTATGAAACAAGAAGCAGGCCAGATTTGGCCTGAGGACTGAAGTTGGCCGAGCTCTGTTGTATACTACTCTTCTTTATCTACATTAATGGGGTTATTATACAAATTAAAGTTGAACTAAATTAAAACAACAAATGTGTCAGTATATGAAGTCTGTAATAGTAAAAGGTTTATGTTTACTGAAAAATTATATTTACTGAGAATCAAATGAAGTAAAATAAACAAATTAAAACTCAAACAGAATTGATAAAACTATTAATAAAAGTTTTATATTTACTTAAGTATTAACTAAAATATGAACTTCGATGTGAACAACAGATAATCCATAATCTTTTTTAAGCTAATAACTTTCTTCCTTTTGCCCAACTAAAGTGCAAGCATTTGGTAGCTAAACTGACATAATTTCTTTCTCACTACCTTTCTCAATTTTTTAAAGAAACTGAAACTTTCTAACTTTTTAAGCCTACTCTTTTTCTGAAATTTATTATGTTTATAACTAGCACTATACGGCTGGGTACTTTTGTTCTCCTTTAGAGTTTTAGTTTTTTTGTTTGGTTTCTTTGAACATGATTAAAAGCTCCTTTGAACATTTAAAGAAATTAGAATTAAGAAATGCTTACATATTATTTCATAAACCATTACCAACCTGAGATACTAACAAATAAGAAAATGAGACAGAGAGCAAAAGTAAAAAGAAACAAAGTGCTCAGTTAACCTACAAACCATATAATCAGGCCAGAAAAATCTCAAATCAAAATTTAATAGATACTTTTAATAGTATGAATTTCAAAATAACTCTGATTTTGAACTCTAAAGCAGTATTTTCTTTTACAGAGCAGCTAAATTCTCAAATACTTTGGAACACTCACTTTGAATAAGCCCAAAGTTAATGAGTGGTTCAGTGGCCTGCACATACTAAGTATTCAATATTATTGAGTGAAATGCTGAGAAATCACTCTGTCCATATAAAGTTACTCACTCTAAAAGAATAAGTATCTTTTGCAAACCTAGTATCTAAAATTTATTCTTGCTATTCAATTATTCAGCTTGGAGAAGATAGCTAATAGCACAGAAATTACAGAATTTTTCTTCCAACCATCTCAACTAGTTTCTTCTTTTTCACTACTTGCCAGTGGCATTAGCCTAAAAAAAGATCCTTCTAGTGAAAGATAACAAAGATGAATAAAGGAATTTAACTTTAAAATTTTATGGAATTTCTGTAAAGGATCTTACATTATAGGGTAATTGCAATGTATTTGAAAAAGAAACCACTAGATAAATCATTTAAGTAAAATTCTAATTCTGATAGAAAAATCTCTTATGATCTTTGTTCTCTGAACATTTCAAAATCAAACATAAAAACCTGATATCCTAAATACATCATCTGTTTATGCACTAAAGATTCCATGCTTGAGCAAAACTTAAACTTTTATTGTACTACAATTACTTATATCCTTATTTTGTAGAATTATTTCAGCACAGTAAGCATCAAGTACACAATGAACACTGTTAACTATTGCTTAAGAAAAAATAAAGATGGATATGATAGAAGTGGAAACATTTGTTGTTTATCTACTTTAAAGCTATTACTCTTGCTACAGAAGCCAAATTTAAAACCAACACTGAAGAACATAATTGGGTATATAGAAATTTAGTGTAGAATATAATTTTTTTCCAAAACTAGTATTCATTTGTGATAAAGTACTTACTCTAAAAGAGGTGGAAGTATTTCACAGTTCAGAACAAAATCTCTGCATTCTGCATTGTCACCAGCAATATTACCAAGTGCCCAAACAGCCTTAGAAAAATGAGAAAAATATCCTGTTACACCAATATCTTAAATAAGATGCTCTCTCTTACAAATGAGATTTTAGTACAGAATGAACAAAGAAGTAGCTCCCAAAGTGTTTTAAAAAACAAAACATGCTAGTTGGACAGTAAGAAAAGTTTAAAAGTGCCATTTACTAATATTTTTAATCAAAATCAAGAATTGGGCATTAAAATTTTTTTTTATTACATACTAGTGAAACGTTTATTCTGTTCAACAAAGAAACTGTCTACTCTGAATCTACATGGAGAGACAAGATATATTAATTTAGTGAATTCTTTAATTACCTATGTTAGAGATTTGCTCTTATGCCAAGGAATCCACTCACTGGGAAGGGACTGATTTGTGAAAAAAAAGGGAAGAAGAGACAAAACACAGAAAAGTAGGTAAAGCTAATAGAAGAATTGGCTTGGGATTGATCTTTGAAAATAAATCCAGAATTAGTCCAGGTTCATTATAATTTTTTAAATAATTGGAAATAAAAGAGTGTTATTAAATTTCAATTAAATAATAAAATCTGCAAATGCAAATTATCATTTCATTATATTCTCATTCAAATTTTTCAAATAAGTACAAAAGCAGACATGTTACATTTTCAATTGAGAAAGTTTTAACATTCTCAATTTAACATATGAGTAAATATTTTTAACATCTACTCTAGACCTAAGTTTTAACATTCTCAATTTAACATATGAGTAAATATTTTTAACATCTACTCTAGACCTAAGTTTATTTTCTTTTTTTTTTTTTTTTTTAAGAAAAATCTTTTACAAGGGGCACTGGGTGGCTCAGTTGGTTAAGTTTCCAACTCTTGATCTTGGCTCAAGTCATGATCTCATGCTTTATGAGTTCAACCCCCACGTTGGGCTCTGTGTTGGTACTGCAGAGCTTGCTTGGGATTCTCTCTCTTCCTCTCCCTCTAACATTTCCCCTCTCTCTCACTCTGAAAATAAATAAGTAAAATAAACAACAACAACAAAAAGAAAGATCTTTTATGAGACAGGCGCTATAACCAACTAAGCCATACAGCTACTTTAAGAAAACTCTTTTAAATTAATGATATTTTTCACCCTGTGGAATTGATATGCTATTGGTGGGGAAATCAATATGTGTAACTCTTTTGGAGGTCAACTTTGAAATATGTAATAAGAACTTAAAAAGTTTTTTCTTTTACCACAAACAAGTCATTTTTCCTAATGAAATAATTAAGAGACACATAAAGATTGATATATAATGAGTTCCTCACATATCAGTAACATTAATAAGCTAGAGAGAACTCTAATGCATAATAACTGAGGAACAGATAACAAATTATGGTATATATCTGACTAGATAATCAATAATTAATAAATTTTCTTGGAAGAATAATTAATGCCATTAGAAAAGGATCCTAATATCAATGTTATGTGGGGAAAAAAATCCCATATACTGTATATATAAAACTAAACAGATGAATGGAAAACAGATCAATTTGCCATAACAACAGTTCAAAACAAAAATATCAAAACATTTTATTTTCTTTTGTTGGCACAAATTATATGTGATTAAATTTTCCCTCCTACAACAAGGATTTTAAAACAGTTCTATTAAAAATAATGTGATATTTTTAAAAAGAAACAACAAAATAATCTATGGACAAGCAAAGAATCAGGAGTCAGACCAGACCAGTTTAAAATCTGGTTTAGCTATTCACTGTGACTTTGGGTAAATTACTAATTTTGTGGGTCTTAGTATGCTCTTTTATACATGGGAATAGTAATTTTTGATAGTTGAGACCACACTTACAGAGAACCCAAGAATATGCCCGAGACTGTGCATTCTACTCTCCTTCTAATTTGACACCAAATAGAAATTACTGTATTTTAACAAATGAAATGCATATGCAACTCTCAAGAAAACACAAAAATCTAGTAAATGTAACCATTCATATTAGGAACATACCTGCTCTTGCACATCTTCATGCTCTGAATTAAGAAGTTTGATAAAAATTGGAACAGCCCCGGTTTCAATCACTACCTTGGTATGCAGAAAAGTTCCAGATGCTATATTAGTTAATGCCCATGCAGCTTCAAACTAAGGAAAAATAAAAGTAGAATAAGTGAAAGCACCAAAGAAATGTCAAAAAGAAAGAGAGTAAAGACTTAGCTTAACAACCTTTAAGACTGATTTACAACTAATATTAATCAGATTTCATAAATAAAAACTCTTAATTTTAAAAAAGGACTCAATCTGGGGTGTCTAGGTGCCTCAGTCGGTTGAGCATCTGATGTAGGCTCAGGTCATGATCTCACGGTTTGTGAGTTTGTGCCCCACATAGGCTCTATGCTGACAGCTCAAAGCCCACTTCACATCCTCTGTTGTCTTTTCTGCCCCTCCCCCACTCTCTCTCAAAATAAACAATTAAAACATTTTAAAAAAAAGGATTCAATCTGGAAAAATAAGAACTGAAAAAAATTATAATTAAAATGTATAAAATCACGAACAGTAAATGAACACATTTGAAATTATAATTCACAAAGCTCTTAATGTTTGGCATCAAAGAGCCAGGTATTCTAATTGAGAAGCAATGCTCTTTTGGACAAACCTAACTTTGTTCACATTTCTAGTAAATTATATTGATTAGTAAAACTGTAATTAGTAAATTATATTGATTAGTTCTTTTTAAAAAAAAACTTAATCACATAAAAATATTTTAAGAGGTAAAAGAACTTATATTAAAATATTAAGACATTAGGTAAGAGTCAAAAAGATTTACCCATTAATATTTTAACTTGAGGCTTTCTAAAACAAAAAAGTTATTAAAAGGCTGACAACTATAAAATTTTTATTAAATTAAGAATGATTTTATATACTTTTTCCAAAATTGTTTAACAGATTAATAGTTCCTAGGAGAAACAGGCATTGCAAACATGACCAAGGCAAGACAGGTAGGATGACCTTTCCCTTTACTCCTGAATGCTTAAATATATTAGTACTATAGAACTTCATTTCACTAGCAACTTTAATCACATGTTATTTCTGGAAAGAGTTAAGAAAGAAAACTTTAAAACTCACTTGTAAAGTACAATTTTCATTTCTTTCAAGAAATTTTACAAATCTCTGTACAACTCCTGGTTTTTGTATAACCTGATCAATTGGTGGATTAGGTTCTAAAAATTAAAAAAGAATTAAGTTATTACATAGACACAAAAAGACAATAATCTGGCCCCAGTGTCAATTAACAGGACACACAAAATAACTCTTCCTATGTTTCACTGACCAAGTTTAAAAGCCTCGGATACATTTAATTGAAATAAACAAATGTTCTAATTGCAATATTTACTGCAAAACAAACTCTTTTGCATTAACCATAGTAAGACAAATCTTAAAATATTTCCTTCACAAATATTTAATTTTTTAAGTTGAAGGCTATTTTGAAGGTCACCTTCACAACATGGAGTATTTCAGTCTAATATTCGAAACACCAACTGAAAGATGTTCTCCCTAGTTCTTTATAAATAAGCATCCCCGACTTTTCAGAATGTCCTCTTCCCTGTCAGCCATTGTCTAATGCTTCTCAGCCAACTTATGCTCTATTTTGTCAGAGTATCATTCATAATTTATAGAAATGATACTGGACTATTAGTATTCTTTATAAATTTTCATGAAATGCAGAGGGCTTTTGAGAATCATAAATTTCTAGGAAATTTTAAAACAAAGATATGCAAAATTAAAACCAAGGTATTTCAGCAATTGGCAATTTAAGTACCAAGAACTCTTCTCCCGTGGCTTCAATAAAAGTACACTCTTAGGGTTCCCCAGCAACTTCTCTTTACTGTTCCTTATCTATCAGTCAATATGGCATGCAACTCTTGAGCTCCAGGTTTTGAGTGAGTTCAAGCCCCATGCTGGGTGTGGTACTACTTTAAAAAAATTAATTTTATTTAAAAAACAGATTTTTTTTAAAAAAAAAGCTTTTTATTTTGAGAGAGAGAGAATCCCAGCTAGGCTCTACGCTGTCAGTGCACGGGCCGATAAAGGGCTTGAACTCACAAACTATGAGATCATGGTATGACCTGAAATCAAGAGTTGGACGCTTAACTGACTGAGCCACCCAGGCACCCCTCAAAAATATATCTCATTTAAAGTACATTTTAAAGAAAAATTAAGACCTACAAAGAAGAGTGCCTTGAAATTTAAAAAATCCAATAAATAAAACTGTAGTGCAGAATCTTGTGATATCAAATAAGCATAGTGAAATGGGTGATAGGTATTAAGGAGAGTAACGTAACACTTGTTATGATGAGCACTGGATGTTATATGGCAAGCAATGAATTACTAAATTCTACTCCTGAAACCAAGATTACAACATATGTTAACTAACTAGAATTTAAAATAAAAATTTGGAGGTTAAAAAAAAAGTGACATTAATTTTAAATTGTGTCATTACAAATTCAGTACATTGTCCATCAATATTAGCAAATTTTAAAGCTTATTTTATCATGTTGATCTAGGAAAAGTAATGATCCATAGCCTTCTTTTATTAAATGATTAAATTTTCTGATTTTATAATATTAATGTACTAAATTGAATTGCTTATTAAAAATCAATATGTAAAATAATAATAATTCTTGCCTTTAGAAAGCAGCTTTCTAAATTTTTGTGTTGCTGTTAGCTGTTGATCAGCATTATTAGAAAAAATCATCTGAACCATATCTGTGGTGATAACTTCTTCCTAAAACATAGAAAATATAATTTATCATTTACATATTTTACATGAATAATATCTGCTGTATCCACTACCTCCAAAACATTGTTGAAGTATAATTTGAAATATTTGTAATATCTACCTCTGGAATGGGTACAGTGGAACTGATATCTGGATCCTGGATTGGACTTTCTAGCATAGATTCATCATTTCTGGGCAAAGAGACATTTCTGCGTTTGAACAGCTGTAATAAAAGAGAAAACACTTTATATACTCTTTCTCATGATTTTTCTATTCTTTATATCATACATACAAAGTTCAGAACAGAGAAGGCTAAGCAATCTAGCTGGCTGATGAGACTACAGAAGGAACATATGATCAGCATAGGGAGATGACTATAATTAACTTAGTAGCAAGAATTGTGAAAACCATAAAGCAACAAATGAATATGTTTTGGGGGGACAAATTTTACAGTGACAAATGGAAGTGATCTAAATAGGCTTAAGAGTAAAAAATTTTTAGCACTGGGATAAAATATGATTAACATAAAACTTTTATCAATAAAATAGAAAGGCTCTTCCTCTCAATGATTAAAAATAGCACAGGTTTCTGATTCATGAATTACTCCTGGAGTCTAATAAATTAAGGGTAGCTTTATATTCAATTTCCTAAAGCACTTTTTCATTTAAAATTATCTAAAAATAAACAATAATAATAATACAACTTCTAAAATCTATACAATGTTTTTGTATTAAACAATTAAATATTTTGAAATACCTACCTGTTCTTCTCTTTTCTGTTTTCGAAGCTGTATTCCTTCTTCTTCTCTTCGTCTACGCATCTCTTGGGGGTTTAGGGCTTTGTTCTTATAACTTTTCATTCTATAGTTATCTTTCCCTGGACTAGCCATGGCATCTTAAGATTAGGAGAGAAGAAAACAGATCTCTCTAAACTACATGAAATGTTTACTCTAAGGAAACTAAGTTCAGGCTTACTGCTTAAATAGACTGACAAAAATCCATTCTAAAGATCATGTACAAAGAATACATTCCCTCATTCCTATATCAAAATTGGAGCAAAAGAACCAAATATTTTAGGACTAAACTATCAAACAAATAATAGATTTTGGTCTAAATACAGATTTTAAGATGCACATCCTAATGCCTGCTGTTTTAATCTTTTTGAAGTGGGAAACATATTATATTCACTGTCAGCCAGGAAATAATCAATCATGAAACAGCTGGGTAAAAAATTTTAGGGGTACCTAGGTGGCTCAGTCAGTCAAGCAGCAGACTCAATTTTGGCTAAGCTCATGATGTCATGGTTCATGAGATAGAGTTCTGTCTGCATCAGGTTCTGCCTGCTTGGGATTCTCATTCTCTCTCTCTCAAAATAAATAAATAATAATAATTTTTTTAAAAACCTATTTTTTTAATGTTTATTTATTTATTTTTGAGAAAGACAGAGTGTGTACACACAAGCAGAGGAGGGGCAAAGAGAGAGGTAAACACAGAATCCAAAGCAGGCTCCAAGCTCTGGGCTACCAGCAGAGAGTCGGACATGGAGCTCAAAACCATGAACCGTGAGGTCATAACTTGAGTCAAAGTTGGATGCTTAACTGAGCCACCCAGGCACCCCCAAAATAACATTAAAAAAAAAGAATTAAAAAGAAACTTCTGGGGCGCCTGGGTGGCTTAGTCGGTTAAGCGTCCGACTTTCGCTTAGGTCATGATCTCGCGGTTCGTGGGTTCGAGCCCCGCGTCGGGCTCTGTGCTGACTGCCAGCTCAGAGCCTGGAGCCTATTTCAGTCTGTGACTCCCTTTCTCTGATCCTCCCCTGCTCACGCTGTCTCTCTCTCTCTCTCTCCTAGAAATAAATAAAACACTTAAAAAAAATAAATTCTGCTGACAACTTTAAAAAAAAAAAAAAAGAAAAAAGAAACTTCTAAGTTACAGTTCCCGACAAGTTCAGGAAATGGGCAGAATGAAGTATCTTATTTTCAATGGAACGTGGTATTGGGTTTCAATAAGCACTGCTCAGATATTTTTGGGAGTCTGGTTTCTTTCATTTACTTAAGGTGTTGCCTTCAGAACTAAGGCTGGGGTCGCCTGGTAGCTCAGTCATTTGGGCATCCAGCTTCGGCTCAGGTAATGATCTTGCGTTTGTGAGTTTGAGCCCCACATCGGGCTCTGTGCTGACAGCTTGGAGCCTGCTTTGGATTCTGTGTTTTCCTCTCTGCCTCTCCCCTGCTCATGCTCTGTCTCGGTCTCTCCCCAAAATAAAACAAACTGTTAAAAAATTAAAAAGAACTAAGGCTTCAGTCATGACTACAATACTAGTTTGCAGTACCATGTATAATTAGTTTCTTTTAAATACTGAAATACTTGTATATTTTTAAGTAGTTTTATCATAAATGTATTTAAAAACAACCATTTATATAAACATTTTCCTACAAGTGCATTTACAACAATTTATGTAACATTTTACATTTAAAATAATGTAATAATTTTACTTTTAGAAACCAGAAAGAATGTTGTGATTAATTAACACTATGAAATAAACAGAAGAAAAGGAAAGGTTGGCATTTATCTGCTATCTCTGATGTCAAAGACAGACTAATGAAGTAGCAAATTATACTGTAATTAGTAAAGTATGCTAAAACATATGCATTGAATCCTGTGAGAGCATAGAAGAACTAGCAACTAACTGAACTAAAAATCTTCAGTTATCTTTTTTTTTTTAAACAAATAGTTTATTGTCAAGTTGGTTTCCATATAACACCCAGTGCTCATCCCCACAAGTGCCCTCCTCCATGCCCATCACCCCCCTTACCCTCTCCCCCACCCTAATCACTTCTCAGTTTGTTCTCAGCATTCAAGAGTCTCTCATGGTTTGCCTCCCTTCCTCTCCCCAATTACTTTTCCCCTTCTTCTCCACCATGGTCCTCTGTTAAGTTCCTCCTAATCCTCCTACACGTGCAAACATATGGTATTGTCCTTCTCTGCCTGACTTATTTTGCTCAGCATAACACCCTCAAGGTCCATCCATGTTGTTACACATGGCCAGATTTCATTTTTTCTCATTGCCATGTAGTCTTCACAGTTATCTTAAAGGAAGAGCAAGAATTTGCCAGGGAAGAGGATGAAAAGAGAAAAGGAAAGGAATAAGCATTTCAAACAGAGGAAATACATGGAAAGGCAGAGTTTTTGCAGAAGACTGGCATAAACAAAATAGTAAGAAATTAAGTATGTTTAAACAAGATTCATGGGAGAAAAAGCACGAGATAAAGCTAGAAAGGACACATATGGTTCCTGCAATGAGGTGGAGAAATTTGGACTTGATCCTAAGGAACAGAATTAAAGAAATTAAAGAGAAGATTGTTTTGACTTTGATGATGAAGACCCGAACTAAATTAATAGTTACACTCTAAATGTAGAAGACTGGTTGATTCCAGAAACATTGAAGAAATTGATTCCAAAAGAATCAGAAACCAAATAAATACAAGAAATATGTGGTGAATAAGAAAAAGGAGTTTAGGAAACCCCAGGGTTTTTAGCTTGAGCTATTTCAGTACAATGACAAAATAAGCCTAGACATGGAATATAGAAGGAGTATCAGAGGGATGGTTTTGTTTGATTGCTACCTTGTTTTTGAGATGAAAACAATGAACTGTTTTCTTTTTAAATTTATATACAGTAAAAAAAATCACTCTTTTGGTATAAAGTTCTATGAATTTAACAAATCCACAAGCATAAAACTATCACAACCAAAATACAGAACAGCTTCACAACCCCTAAAAATCTTCATCATGCTGCTCCTATTAGCCCCTCTTCCACCTTTAATACCTGGCAATCACTGGCTTGTTCTCGATCTCCAAAGTTCTGATTTTTCCTGAATTTCACATTAAGTGGAATAACAACAGTGTATAGTCTTAAATTGGTTTCTTGCATTTAGCACAGTGTATTTGTGAGATCCATATTGTTGACCTATATCAATAATTCATTCTTATTGTTGAGTAGTATTCTACTGCATGCTTATACCACAGTTTATCAATTCATTAGTTGAAGGACATTTAGGTTGTTTCTAGTTTAGTACAGTTATGAATAAATCTGTTATAAATGTTCATGTACAGGTTTTTGTGTAAATATGTTTCATTTCTCTCAGGTAAATATTTAGAAGTAGGACTGATGGATAATATGTTTATGCTTCACATTTTATAAGAAACTGCCAAAGTGCAAAGTGCTGTACCATTCTGCACTCCCATCAGTAATGTATGAGTTCCTGTTGCTCTGTGTTCTGCCTATATATGATATTGTCAGAATTTTGTTGGTACAGCCATTCTAACAGATGTAGAGTAACTTTCATTTTAATGTGTTAAATTTATAATACTTAGGACACATACAGGAAATTTAGACCTATAGATGGTTCAAAATATGAGTCAAAACTCAGGAAGAATCCTAATTGATAATCCAAGATCATATAGAGCTAAAAAAGAAAGATGACCAAGGATTGAAATCTTGAGGATGGTGATCTTTTAGTGGGAAAAGGAACAAAGAACCAAAAGGAAATAGGTCAGAGAAATAAGAGAACCAGAAGAAAGTCAGAATCAGGAAAGAGAAAGGAATTCAAAAGACAAGGTAGTATTTCATTTGTAGTAGCACTAAAAACAGATCACTCAATTCATTCATTCATTGATTCATCCAGCAAATTTCAGTGCCTACAATATGCCAGGTAAAACATGAGGCATCATATTTGATAATTAAGTCATTTAGTAAAGATACTGAGAGAAATTTCACTAGTGGTGGAGCTAAAAGTAGAATGGAATAGGCTGAGCACTTCATAATGATTTGAAAGGTACTTTGTGCCTTTGAACTTAACACATGTACATTCTAGCAATTAAGGTATATCTATATTTGACCAAATCCTTCTTTAAAATATTTAATTAATTGATTTTGATAATACTGTGGGAACCATTAGAAACAGTTCAATCTAACTTTATTAATAAAGTATTCAGCATTATTCCCTAAGTATTTCATACATAAATATTCTGTCTCATTAATAAGAACTTGGGCTCTGACATAAGAAAAAGAGAGGAGTTCACTATAGAACAAATTGGACTTCAACATTAGTTGTTGAATTATGCTTAATAAGTATAAAATATTTTAGCAAAATGAAATGTCCATAGAAATAAGCCTCTTAATATTTACCACCTATATATTAGGTTTTTCTAGGCCACTGGCCTCTAACCTTTTTTTGATCACATATCCTTATGTATGCAAAATATATTTGTGCAGGGGCACTTGGGTGGCTCAGTCAGTTATGTGTTAAACTCTTGATTTGGGCTCAGGTCATGATCTCACACTTCATGAGATCAGGCCCTACAACACATCAGGGAGAGTGCAGAGTCTTCTTGGGATTCTCTCTCTCCCTCTCTCTCTGCCCTTTCCCTACTTGTGCCCTTCTCTCTCAAAATAAATAAGCATTTAAAAAAATACATATATTTGTGCATTCATCCTCTATTTATATACAAGTATTACTAGCCTAATAATCTATTCCATTACAAAATTTACAAATAGGACATTTTTAAAAAGGAATAGTTTTAAAAGGTAAAGAAACAAGTTCTAATACTTTTTCCCCACAATTCAATTACCTTGTGCCTCTCCAGCCTACACACTGGACACTACTTCTAAGACCATTAATCTAGGCAATCACATTAAAACCTTTAATATAAATACGTTAACCAAATAAAATCTACCCCCAACAACTCATATATCATTTGTTCCTTTTTCTTATGCAGTACTAACTTCTTATTTAACATCTGCATCCTCAATGTAATTGCTTTAAAGAGTACATAAAGTCCAAGAACAATCTCTAAAGGTACCTCACCAGAGAGGACTGTTCCCTTTTCTGCAAAATAACTTTAAAGACTGTACTTCAAAGGTTATTATCTCATACAAGTTAATTTTTTTTTTAATGTTTATTTTTGAAAGAGCGCACACAAGCAGGGGAGGGGCAGAGAGAGACGGGAGGAGGGAGACATAGAATCGGAACCTGGCTCCAGGCTCCAAGCTGTCAGCACAGAGCCCGACACGGGGCTCAAACCCACCAACCGGGAGATCATGACCTGAGCAGAAGTCGGATGATTAACCCACTGAGCCACCCAGGAGCCCCAAGTTACTTTAAATATAAGAAATGCCTTTCAGATACTTTGGAGATCGCAGAACATAGCTGCTGCTGCTGCTTCTTTTTTTTTTTTTTTTTCCAGTCATGAGTTTTTCACTCAGCTCTTTGAAAAACTGTTTCGAGGTTGGGCAAGTAATTGCATTTTGAACTTCTTCTAATGTATATTAACGGAATTTCTTGTGCCCCTAAAGCCTCCATTTCTACGGGTCTGGGTGCATCCTAGTAAAACTACAGGACTGGTACCGAGGGGTAAGTGTGCTGACCACAGCCCCTAGAACCAAACAAGCAGTACTGAAAGATCTAAAGGACCAAGGTGTTTTTTGTTTACCAAGAAGGAAAATCGCTTTCCTGACTGAGAGACACTAAGTCAGAGGTAAAATGTTTTTAAAAGCCTAAGAGTAAATGCCGATGCCATATTCTTTTGAAGTATCCCTATCCCATTTCACTGCTTTCAAATCCTTCGCTTCTCATGCATTACCGAGCAAACACTTATTAAATTTTCATCTTGGAAGGGAGCTGTTAGAAGCATCTATCCCACTCAGCCCGCGTCGACATCCAGGTGGAGGAGGGAAGCTGGCGGACCGCGAGGGTGCGACAAGTAGGCCCCCGGGGCCACCCGTGCCGTATTTTGGACACTGTGGAACTTCTAGAAGGCGCCGCCGGACCCACACAGACGCTAAATCGCAGGAGTGAATGGCAACATTTGACAAGACCGTGTACCTCCGAGAGCGGAACCAAGGCACGGTGAGGCGGCACGGAGGCAGGCTGAGGTCGGCCGTCCGAGGCTCCTTCCCAGGGCCAGCCAGACCGGCTGCGAGCATCGGTGTTCCCCCGCACCTTCGCGTCAGCACGGAAAAGGTCCGGCTGCCACGCCCCCCGCCACCGCTGTGTGCGACCCTGGGAAAATACCTGGCCGAATGGCCTGGTCCTCCAGCCTTCTCAAGGAAAGGGATAAATAAAAACAGTGACCCCTGGAACCAGCAACTCCCCAAGGGGCCAAACCCAAGGTTCACCCTAACTGGCCTGTGTCACTCCCACTTACCCATTAATGTAGCACTACCTGCGGTCCTAACTTCTCAGGCCCCGGTTGCGAAGTCCGCTGCAGGTAACGAAGGGGTCGCCACTCCGCCCCTAGCGTTGAGCGTAGCGACTAGGTTCGCAACTCAAGATGGCGGCTACCTGCGCCCCTTCCCCGAGACCCCGACACTCGGCTCCCAGAAGCCCTTGCAAGCGGCGACCGCAGCGGCGGCGGCGGCGGCTGCACCGACTGGCAGAGGGGCGGAGAGAAGCGAGTGCGCAGCCCCGCCCACCGAAGGAGGAGCCGGCACCTGCGCTGACTCCGGGATTTTAATTGGGCGCGGTCGCGGGGGCAGCGAGGGAGCTCTCGTTCGTTCACTCCTTCGTTCGTTTGGTTTGTTTATTCACTCATCCTAGAAGATGGTATTGATGGACGGCCTAATCCGTGCTAGGCACTGTTTTAGATATTGGAGCTGAAATAGTGTACACAATGGAAAAATTCCAACCTCGTGGAGCTTTACTGAGGCTCCTTCCTTCTTCAGCTTCATGAAGCCTCTTTTTTGTCCTGCTGTTTTGTTTCAAGCTTGTCAACAGACCGTTTTATTTAGAATTTGGATTCTATAACATCTGTGGATTTTTGAGAAAAAAGTACTCATCGATGCATGAACAATTCCAAATAAAGTACTCTAAATTATTATAACACATATAAGCTTTGTAATCTACCCTTGAGTTCAACAAACAGTATTGAAAAGAGTCTGTTTCCAGAAGCAATGGTGGGCACAGAACATGGAAGTTAAATACATGATACCTGCCCTGAAAAAGATCGTGTTTTCTATCTCTTATTCTTTTTGTTTTCTTTTCTGAGAAATTTCTTGGTTATCTTCTAGCTCTCTATTGAGATAGAGAGAGAGAGAGAGAGATTCTGCTAATTGTGTTTTTAATCTACAAGCTATTTTAATCCAAGAGCTATTTCCTAGATTCAGGGATTAAATAGCTTTTGTCTCTATGAAGATATTAATTGTAGTTTCCTTTAAGTATTTTTTTTCTCCTTCATTCATGGTCTGGGTGAAACTCCTTAGAGTTTTGTTTTGTTTTCCTTTTTCATCATTTGGTTTTCAACTTTACTGCCACAGGCTGTACTCTAATGCCTAGTGATCCTTGAGTATCCATTCATATTTGACTGAGACACTAACAAAAACTATTGTAAACTTGTATGACAGCCCATTGTTTACTTGCTAATTGTTGTCTTCCCTACAGAATAATAATATGGGATCTTGGCTGTTTCCTTGGAGGACTTTCGATGTCCTTTTCTTATGTGTAGGTCTTTTCTTTTGAATCAATGATTTTCCTTGGAGAAGAATTTTCTAATCTCCTGACAGGAAGGCACATATCAGACATAAGAATGTGATGGAGGAAATGACTTGGGGCCTCATAATTCAGCATTTAGCTTTCACTCTTCCCCACTTACAGTCCAACACCTTGACAGCCCCCCCACCCCCACCCCCTTAGTTGTGCATTTCTGACGTTACAGTCTTTCTGGTTCATTTTCTTCATAAAACGAAACCTGTAGTCTTCTGTCTTGGAAGGAAAGATCAGTCACTTGGCAATCTGGTGATGGAGGAAATCTGGAGATAGGATTCTAATTGCTCTCTATTCAGACTTTTCAGCAAAATGTTCCTCTTTTCAGGCCAGTTTTAATATGTTTTTCAGAAGTATCAGGTCTTTAATTTTTGAACATTTCCAGAGTTCTGGTGTATAAAATGACTTGTTTTTGTTGACTTCTCTTCTTAGCCAAGTTAGTTTCTATCCATCTACCCTTTTTCCAGCTTTGAAATTTTGTTAAAACCTCATTAGCATTTATTTTTATTTTTAGTCTTCTATCATTTTAGTAGATTTTGAGAGGCAAGGAATATAAATGTACATGTTCATTCTGCCATATTCAACTACAAAACCCCAAATACACTGTACATCAGCAGATTTTGCCACTCTTCTATGTAAATAATCCAGTAATTTTCTACAAGAGGCTACATGATTTGGCCCCTATCTACAACTCTGACCTTATATAGTAACCACTCTTCCTTCTAGAACACTCTGCTCAAGTCACAAAATGTTCTTTTTGCTCCAATCTTAGAGCTTTTGCTCTAATTATTTTGTCTGGAATGCTCTTCCTCCTATTGGTGCAAAGTTTGTCATCACACTTACCTTCTTAGAAAAACCTTTTCTAACTACGTTAGTCCTCCCAATAAATAATCCAGTTTTATTTTTTCATAGCACCTATCATGATCTGTTAGTTTCCTTGTTTATTTTCTGCCTCACTACCACGTAAGCTTCAAAGGGGGTGCATTTTGTATGTTTTGATGACTTCCAGAGCCCCAGTTCCAAGCAAAATGCCTTTCGAATGGACACTCGCTGTATATTTATCGAATGAAATGAGAACCGAACCCTAAAAATAAGGTGTGTGTGATCTTGTAACCTTGAGGAATGAACTCGTCTTAGTTTTACTCCATCTGTGGAGCATGGTTTGGATTTTGGAACGTAGTAACATTATGAGCCCTTGATCGATACACAGTGGTAGTCAGGCCTTGGGGTATTATGTCCTAGGACCCGTCGTAGGAATTCATTCTAAAAGTTCTCGGAGCCTCCTGTGCCAAAGAGCCCGAACCCTGGAAAGAGGATCCAAAAATGACTACGACTCCCAGAAAACACTGCGACCCAGACTGGCACGGAGCGGAGCATGCTGGGAGCCTTTTCCTTCCTAGGGACAGAGGAAGAGCTTTTTTGAATGTGTGGAAGCGAAAGTATTTTGGAGTCGTCAGTTTTTTTCTTGGTTAACTGTGAACTTCTGGATGTAGGGAGAGCCCGTCTCAGTCTTTGAGGCCGGTAAAGGTAGTCGACGCTGCGCGTGCCCTTTTCTGCCCGAGAACCAGACGGCGTCAGTTGCGGACCCGAAAAGGCTGAAGCCAGGCATACATAGGACAGTGTAGCCGCGGCCGGATCTTCGGGCCGGTAGGAACTAACGGTCCCATCCCTTATTCCCCCGGCCTAAACTTTAACCCACTCAGTGTCTGGGCTGGTTTTGGTTCCTGGACGTTGGCGCCGACTTTTGGGGCACACTCGGCCTTGCCGCATTCGGCCCTTACGGCTTCTCTTATCACCTACGCATCCTGGCACCTGGCACCAGTATTTGAGAGTTCAAGCGTGTCCCTCTGTGTCTAGCCGTGTCCCAGTCCCGGGAAAAGACGTTCGTTCCGCTGGTAGTTTGGGAGAATTTCCTTCTAAAATCGAAGACTATTTTCATTTGTCTGAAGGAAGTAAGAAAAATAAGGACTACGTAGGGGCTTCTTATAAAACTAAATTTGTTTAAATGATGGGAATAGTTTCCTTGTTTTTCTCTTCCTGATTGTTTTTAAATAATCCTTAGCTGAACGAAGGTTGTGGCAGTCATCGCTTTTTAAAACTTCCTAACATCACCTTTTGTTGGCATTCAGTAGTTTATTAGTCTATAAACCCCTAAAGTGCTGATTTAGTACAACTCATTTCATAAACTGAACCTCAAAGAGATAAGATGTCTTACCTAAAATTTTGAAACCTGAAATTGTCATCCGGTTCTCTTGACCCTGGAATCAGTGCCCTTTTCTACCGTGGTCACTCTGATTTTATTCTTTGGGTTGAGAGGACAGTCTCTCAAAAGGTTTGGCTAACCATTTTCTGGCTGTGGTGACCTATCTGAGCCAGGGTTTCCTCCAGATAGAATGGTCATAATGTACTTAAATTAATTTGATATACCTAAAGTTTTCTAACTGTTCACTGCTGTGATTAAGATGTGTTTACTTCCCCTCCCTATTGTTAACAACTTTGTTTCCGTATTTAGATACATCAGTTGATAAGATTTTTTAAAGTTTTCTCTTAACTGAGTTATCTTACTTGGACAATTTTATTAACATTTTTTTCTCTCTATCTCAGACCACATGTTTTTTGAAATACTTTAAGTATTATGTATTTTAATTGAACTATTACGGCCTTTGTCTTATTGAAACCATAAACTTGAAATACAGTAGTGAAATTTTGGTTCAGATTTGTAAATAAGTTTGTATGTTTGAGGAACAGTTAAGTTCACTGAAAATGTCTTCATTTAAACAATCCAGTTTTAAGTAAATACTGGTTAAAAATCTGTTCCAAATCATTTTTTTTTTAATGTTTTATTTATTTCTAAGAGAGAGAGAGACAGCGTGAGCAGGGGAGGGTCAGAGACAGAGGGAGTCACAGACTGAAACAGGCTCCAGGCTCTGAGCTGGCAGTCAGCACAGAGCCCTCCGCGGGGCTCGAACCCACGAACCGCGAGATCATGACCTAAGCAAAAGTCGGACGCTTAACCGACTAAGCCACCCAGGCGCCCCCCAAATCATTTTATAAAGTGCATTTTCTTTTTCTTCAGTCTTGCTATCAAACCTAACATAGAATTATATTTTTTCTAGCTCCCTGATGTACTATGCTTTCTTGTGATATTTGTGGTGAAACAGTAACCTCAGAACCAGACATGAAGGCTCACCTTCTAATTGTTCACATGGAAAATGAAGTTACATGTCCATTTTGCAAGTTGTCAGGCGTGAATTATGATGAAATGTGTTTTCATATTGAAACTGCTCATTTCGAACAGAATGAACTAGAAAGAAGCTTTGCAAGGATCAATACAATACAATATAGAACTTCAGATAACAGGAAGGACAACACCTTACAATGTAGAATGGAAGTTAATTCTAGTGTCCATTCAGCTTGTGCATCTAATCATCCAAAAATTTCGGCTCAAAGCCTGCCTAATGATGGTACTTTAAAACAGAAAGCCTTTTATTCAGAGAACTTAACTGAATCTAGAAAGTTCCTCAAAAGTAAGGAGAAAGAGTGTGACCTATCCAAAATAAAGGGATCAATTTATGAAACAATGTACAGCCCTCCAGAGTGTCCCTTCTGCGGAAGAATAGAAGATTGTAGTCAAGATATGGAAAATCATGTGAAAACAAAACATGCCAGTCTTTTAGACACTCCATCAGAAGGTAAGATGTTCATTTTATGTAATAAGTAACAGTAGCCCTGGTTTAATATGTGGTGTCCTAAAAGTTGGTTTGTAAATCAGATTACTGCAAATGTGTTTTGAAATTCAAGTTTATATTTACAGCATTGTTCATTTGCTATTATTGCAATATAAAAAATACAATTATGGAAAAGAATTTTGATTCAGATAATAAATGTTTCAACCACATTGAAAGTAGTTTTAAAACGTTTCTGAGGAGAAATACACTCAGTCCATTTTCCAAAGGGCATTCTTCTACTTATCACTAGCTCAATGACACCTTGGAGAGCTGTCTTGGACTCTGATATTCTGTGGTTCTGAGTATGACTCTTTTATGATCAGAGAACAAACTCTATGATTTTGGTTCTCTTAAATGTGTTGAAACTTGTTTTATTTCCCAAGATATTGTATATGATCTATTTTGGTACATGTTCCATGGACTCTTAGGAATGAAAAGTATATTCTGCCGCTGTTGGGTTGAGTGTTCTAAATTTGTCAGATCATTTTGTTTGTATTCAGATCTTCTGTATCCTTGCTGATTTCCTGTCTAGCAGTTCAACCAGATTTTGAAAGTGGGCTGTCATGGTTCCCAATTATAATTGTGTATTTGTCTATTTTTTCTTTCAGCTCCGTCAGGTTTTATTTCATGTATTTGGAGGCTCTGCTGTTGATGCTTGCAATACATTGAGAATCCTTTTTGCTTACTGTTGAGTTTTAAAGAGTAATTTAGTTATTTTGGATACAACTGCTTTATCAGATATGTGTTTTGCAAAGTTTTTTTTCCCACCCTGGAACTTGTCTTCTCATTCTCTTAACAGTCTTTCCCAGAGCAGAACTTTCACTTTTAATGAAGTGATTGTGACTTCTTCTTTCATGGATTGTGCTTTTGATGTTGTATCTAAAATCTCATCACCAAACTGAAAGTCACCATTCCTATCTTATCTTCTAGAAGATTTATAGTTTTGAATTTTACATTTAAGTCTGTGTTTCATTTGAGTTAATATTTTAAAAGGTGTAAGGAGAGTGCCTAGATTCATTTTTTTAAATTAATAATTGTTATATTTTAAAATAGTTTCAGTTTCACAGCAAAAGTAAGTAGAAAGTACATGTATTCACTGTCTGCATATACTTAGATCCTCTTTCACTATCAGTAACTATATCAGGTGATAACATTTGTTATAATCAGTGAACCTACACTGACCCATCATTATCATCTAAAGCTCACAGTTTCCATTAAGGTTCCCTCTTGGTGTTATATATTCTACAAGTTTTGATAAATGTGTAATAACAAATACCCACCATTTTAGTTATCATGCAGAGTAGTTTCACTTCCCTAAAAGTCTTCTGTGCATTACCTAGTCATTCTTTCCCTACTCCAAACTCCTGGCAATCACTGATCTTTTTACCGTCTCCATATTTTCACCTTTTTCAGAATGTCATTGGAATCATACAGTATATAGCTTTTTCAGATTAGTTTCTTTTACTTAGTAATATACATTTCAGTTTTCTCTATGTCTTTTCATGGCTGGATAGCTCATTTTCTTTTAGGGATGAATAATACTGCATTGTCTAGATGTACCACAATATATTTATCCTTTCACCTGCTGAGGAACACCTTGGTTATTTGCAGGTTTTGGCAGTTAAAAATAAAGCTGCTATAAACATCCGTGTGCAGGTTTCTGTATGGGCAGAAATCTTTGATTCATTTATGTAAATACCAAGGAATGTGATTACCGGATTGTATAATAATAGTGTGTTTAGTTTTAACAAGAAACTGCCAAACTCTGAAAGAGTAGCAACACCATTTTGCATTCCCACCAGCTGTGAATAAGATTTTCCTGTTGCTCCACATTCTCAACAGCATTTGGTATTGTCCGAGTTCCAGATTATGGCCATTCTGGTATTTGTGTTGTGGTATCTTAATTAATTTTAAGTGCTACTTATTAATATAACATGAATATCTTTTCATATGCTAATTACCGTCCATATATTTTCTTTGGTGAAGTATCTGTGAACGTCTTTGGCCCACATTTTAATCTGGCTTTTGGTTTTCTTATTGCTGATTTTTAAGAGTTCTTTGTATATTTTCGACAACAGATCTTTATTATATGTATCTTTTGCAAATACTTTCTCCCGTTCTGTGGCTTGACTTCCTATTCTCTTTGACATTGTCTTTTGCAGAGTAGAAGTTTTTTTATTTTAATGAAGTCTACCTTATTAATTATATTATACCTTCATTATGCCTTTGATGTTGTCATTGCCATACCCTAAGTCATTTAAGTTTTCTGCTATGTTATCTTCTCGGAATTTCATGGTTTTGCATTTTATGCTTAGGTCTGTGGTCCATTTTCCAGTTAATTTTCATGAAGGATGTAAGATCTGAATCTAGATTCTTTCTCTCTGCATTTTGATGTTTCCATGTTGCAGCATCATTTACTGAAAAGATTTTCTTTGCTCCATAGTTTTGCTTTTGCTTCTTTGTCAAAGATTAGTTGACTAGGCGGGGCGCCTGGGTGGCTTAGTCAGTTAAGCGTCCGACTTTTGCTTCGGGCACCGCATCGGGCTCTGTGCTGACTGCCAGCTCAGAGCCTGGAGCCTATTTCAGAGTCTGTATCTCCCTCTCTCTCTGACCCTCCCCTGCTCACGCTGTCTCTCTCTCTCTCCTAGAAATAAATAAAAATATTTTAAAAAAAAGATTAGTTGATTAGGCTATTAGTCTATTTCTGGGCTCTCTCCTCTGTTCCATTGATCTATTTGTTCTTTTTTCAGTACCACAGTGTCTTGATTCTGTAATTTTACAGTAACTCTTGAAGTCAGGTAGTGCCAGTCATTTAACTTTATTCTTTCTCAATATTGTCTGTGTCTCAATATTGTCTCAATATTGTCTGTGAATATGTAATGTATTCGTATACATTTTAGAATCAGTTTGTTGATATCCATAAAATAACTTCTTGGATTTTTTTAGAATTGCATTGAATCTATAGATCAAGTTGGGAAGAATAGACATTATGGCAATATTGAGTCTTCCTAATATGAACAAGAAATATCTTTCAACCTAGTTGTTCTTTGATTTCTATCATCAGAATTTTGTATTTTTTTCTCATGTGTATCTTGGTTTTTTGTTAGGTTTTTACCTAAGGGTTTTTGTTGTTGTTGTTTTGTTTTGTTTTGTTTTGGTTTTGGTTTGTTTTATATTAATTGGCCTAATCATGTCTTGGTCCATTTCATCCAGCTTACAAATTTATGTCATAGTTCATAATATGACTTTATTCTCTTTTGAATGCACATGGGACATGTAGTGATGCCCCTTTTTTATTTCTGGAGTTAACAATTTGTGTTCTCTTTTTTCTTCTTAGCTGGGCTAGAGGCCTTTTGATTTCATTAGTTTTCTCTATTGATTTTCTGTTTTCTCTTTCATTGATTTCTGCTCTAATTTTTTTTCTTTATTATTTCTTCTGCTTATCTTGGATTTGACTTGTTCTTCTTTTTCTAGTTTCCTAAAGTGGAAACTTAGATGATTTATCTTCTTTTCTGATATATGCATTCATTGTTATAAGTTTCCTTCTAAGCAGTGCTTTTGCTACATTGCACAAATTTTAAGTTGTACTTTCATTTTCATTTTTTTTTAAAGACTACATCTTTGTTTTTAGGTTTATTTATTTACTTAGAGAGAGAGAGGGAGAACAAGTGGGGGAGGGGCAGAGAGACAGGGAGAGAGAGAATCCCAAGCAGGCTATGCACTGTCAGCACAGAGCCCAATGCGGGGCTTGAACCCATAAACCATGAGATCATGATCTAGCTGATGTTGGACACTTAACCAACTGAGCCACCCAGGCACCCCTTTAATTTTCATTTAGTTCAGAATTTTAAAATTTACCTTAGGATTTCTTTGATACATTATTTAGGTGTGTGTTTAATTTCCAAGTATTTGGGGATTTTTCAGCTCTTTCTGTTAATTTTTGTTTATTTCCATTTTAGTCTGAGAGAAGATATTGTATGATTTTAATTCTTTAAATTTCTTAAGGTGTAATGGCCTAGATTATGTTTTATGTTCTAGAATGTGGTCTTAGTGAATGTTTTATACGAACTTGAGCAGAAAGTGTATTCTGCTATTGTTGGATGAACTTATGTAGAGATGTCGATTATATCCAGTTGATTGATGGTATATCCTTCTGTATACCTTGGATACTTATATCCTTCTTATTCCCCCCTTACTAGATTTATCTACTTCTAAAAGAGGAGTGTTTAAAAATTCTCTAACTGTATAACAGTGAATCCATCTGTTTCTTATAGCAGTTCTATTAATTATTGCCTCATGTTGTTTTTTTTTTTAAATGTTTATTTATTTTTGAGAGAGACAGAGACAGAGTGCCAGTTGAGGAGGGTGCAGAGAGAGAAAGGGAGACAAAGAATCCAAAGCAGGCTCCAGGCTTCAAGCTGTCAACATAGAGCCCAACGTGGTCTCTAACTCACGAGCTATGAGATCATGACCGAAGCTGAAGTCTGACGCTTAACCAACTGAACCACCGAGGTGCCCCTTGCATGTATTTTGACACTCTGTTGTTAGGCACATACACATTAAGGATTATTATGTCTTCTTGGAGTACTGAACCCTCTGTCATTATGTAGTGCCCCACTTTATCCTAGATAACATTCCTTGTTCTGAAATCTGCCCTCTCTGAAATTAATAGAGCTACTCCTTTGTTTGTTTGTATTTGTTTTTGATTAGTGTCAGCATGCTGTATCTTCCTCTTTTCTTTCACTTTTAATCTATAAGTGTATTTATATTTAAAGTGGATTTTTTATAGACAACATATAGGTAGGTCTTGTACTTTGTTCCACCCTGACAGTCTATCTTTTAATAGGTATGTTTAGACCAGTGATGTTTAAAGTGATTATTCCTATAGTTGGATTAATATATCTACCATATTTTTTACTGTTTTCTATTTGTTGCCCTTGTTCTTTGCTTCTTTTGTTTTCTACTTTTTTATCTCTATTGGGAAAGACAGTTCATGCATGCAATCTTTCTACCCCTACTTGGCCACATAAGAATGAACCTTGGGCCCAGAACACTTTCTTATCAAGAGATAGAGCCCTACAGCCTGTGTTTGGAAATATCTTTCCTGTTTCAGGCAACAGTATGTATATAATATTATTTTGCTTAAGCATGTGTTTCGTATGGCACCTGCTAGATCTGTCCTCTGTCCTTCATTCTGTGGCACAAGAGAGGTGTGCCCAGACCAGTTGCCCTGTGATGGCTGCTGGAAGGGACCCATGGGCCATTGCAGACTAATGTCTAATACTGAAGGTGATCTTGCTCTTTCTCTTCTCTATGTATTTCTCTATGTTTACTGGGGGTTAAGTGTTCTGTCCAGTGCTTGACTGCTTATTTTCCTTGGTGATTCTGATGTCAAGATGCAGTGTTTAGACTTCTACTTCTGGTAATAGGCAAGAGATGTCACTTGCTCAATTAATACTCTCCTTTCTTAGCATATCAGTTATACTTGTTTTTACTTTTTTTAGTGGTTGGCCTAGATTTTGCAGTATATATTAACAACTAATTTAAGTCTAATTTCAAGTAACACTGTATGACTGTATGAGTACAAGGACCTTATAATAATAAAACATTCCTAATTCTTTCCCCTGTCCCTTGTGTCATTATTGTCATTTATTTCACATAAATGTAAGCACACATATATGCACACACATAGTTGAATATGTTGTTGCTATTTTCATTTTGAATAAACATATGTCTTATATCAATTAATGAGAAAAATCACAGTTCTTATTATACCTTCACCTGTGTCTTTTCTGATGCTCTTCCTGTATGGATATCCATGTTTCTGACCAATATCATTTTCCTTCTCTCTGAAAAACTTCTTTTAACATTTTTTGCAAGACAGGTCTACCGGCAATAATTTCCCTCAATTTTTGTTTGTCTAAGAAATTCTTTATTTTTCTTTCACTTTTGATGGATTATTTTGAAGGATATAGAATTTTAGGTTGGTAGGGTTTTGTTTTGTTTTGTTTTTCCTGGAAAATTATTAGTTGAATGGCTTCTGAGAAATTATATGTCTGTCTCTTATTAGTTGAATGGCTTCTGAGAAATTATATGTAATTTTTATCTTTGTTCCTCTATAAGTAAGGTGTTTTTCTCCTCTGGCTTCTTTTAGGATTTTTTTTATCTTTGATTTTCTGAAGTCTGAATATGATATGCCTAGATGTAGTTGTTTTGGCATTTACTATGCTTGGTGTTTTCTGAGCTTCCAAGACCTATAGTTTGATATCTGACATTAATTTGGGGATGTTCTCAGTCATCATTGCTTTAAATAATACTTTTGTTCCTTTCTTTCTCTCCTGGTATTGCCATTTTTTGTATGTTACACCTTTTGCAGTTCTCCCATAGTTTTTGGATATTGTGGAGTATTGGGGGTTTTTTGTTTTAGGGGGTTTTTTTTTTGGTCTTCTTTTCTTTACATTTTGGGAAATATCTCTTGTTATATCCTCACACTCAGAGATTCATTCCTCAGCCACGTCTAGCCTAATAATGAGCCCAAGTATGTGATCTCTAGCATTTCTTTTTCTTTATGTCACTTTTATTAACTTTTGAATATTTATAGCACTTAAATTATGTTTGCATATGTGTATCAAGGTTAAATTCTTTTTTTTTATAAAATACAAGAGCAACCAATTTCATCATCAAGTAAAAGTAAAAACTGTGCTTCTTTTTAAATTAGTCCCAAGTAGCATTTAGGAACTTAGTTGTAGGTTGCAATGCTGACACCAGGGCAAAGCCAAGTATAGGGTTGGGTTTGGTTTTGTTTTGGTTTTCTTTTCAGTATCCAGTGCTCCTGGATTAAGTTCTGAAAATGGTCCAATTTTAAGGCAGGGATCTGCTTGGATTCCAGCAGGAGTATGCTTCATGGGTTAGATGCTGCAGGGTGAGGCACATTTTGTGGGACTCATGTTAACTACCTATAGTCATCAGGGTTAAAAAATTCATCATGTCCTTTGTTTTCCATTCCATGGAAATCAGCTCAGTATTGCAAGATACTTCCAATTCCAAATCCTTTCACAAACTGGGATCTTTCTAATGACTTATCTGTGACATTTCCAGTGTAGCTATAATTTTTATAGTTGTGAGTAAACCATTCCAGCAGGGACATGTTCTCAATTGGCTCATGTACCTGTCCTGTTAGTGAAATGAAATTTATCATCTTATTCTGCAGTTAGAGAATTTTCTCCCCTTCTGTGCCTTGACAATGAGAAACATTTCTCATTATATCCAGTTTTTCATAAACTGTTAGAATCTTTACAGCTCCCACTTCCAGAACCTTTAGTGTATCTTCAGTTCCAAAACAGTACTTGTCTGTGTCCTGGCTGATTTCACCCAAGTATTCAATTAATTTCTCTTTTTGAATGAATTTTACCTTGGAAAGAACATCACTAGATAATTCAGTAGCTTTTTTTTCATTTTCACCATGAGAGAATATGTCAACTAATTTTAAATCTTTTGATTGCAGCCTCTAACCAGACATATCAGATTGATTTAGTCCAGTTTTAAAATTGGCTGATCTGGCCGAAATAAGACGAGTCACATCCATTTTGTGGAAATAAATAGCTGCATAGCCGTCTCAGCTACTTTCTAAATACTGTTATTTCACTTCCTTATATGTATGGATTGCTCAGCTCAGCGCTTTCACACTAGGTTCCTCCTCTGTGTCCCATCTCAGGTCTTGGCCTTGCAGAGATACTGCTTCTGTCCTGGGCAAGCTGCAGCTCTCCGCTTGCAGTGCTGCTTGATAAATGCAGCTCTTTGATCTTCTGCTCCCAAGCAGGCAGTATGAGATTCCAAGCTTTATGCTGAATGCTTTATGCTTAACTTCACATCTCACCACTTAGTTTGGAGGGAGGATGCTGAGAATTTAGCCCCTAAAATTCATATCTACATTGGCCCCTACTTATCATTTTGATTTTCCTTTATACTTTTATTACTTTGACTCCAGATCTGAATGTTTATTATTAATTTTTTCTTTTATTAGAGTGGTAAGAGATGTGTGCTTATGCTCGGTCTTCCATTTTGACCCTTGAAGTAGAAAATAGCTTTAAATCCAACTGCAAAGAGCTTTGACTTACTTAATAAGGTTAGTGGGCAGTGGACAGTCTTTGACTTAGGGTGAAAAATCTAAAAGTTTTAAAAATAAAACCAACGGAATTATATCTCTAAAACAGACCATGATCAGCCACTGTATGACTGTCCTATGTGTGGGCTCATCTGTACAAACTACCATATTCTCCAGGAACATGTTGACTTACATTTGGAAGAAAGCAGCTTTGGACAAGGTATGTTGAAATATTTCAAAATAAGAATCTCATGATTTAATTTCTACTTCCTACAATATATCTAATCTTTGGAGTAGTGATAAAGAGGAAAAAAAGTATGTTGTTAAAAAAAATTTGCCCTTTTAAAGAATTCTAATCTAATGTAGCTTCAACTTTTTAGAAGTTTTTGCACAGACAGGTTGTATAGGATGACCAACAACTAAACTCGCGGTGTGTACCCGAGTTTTGCCCCAGAACACCAATATTGAGAAAACAGTGAGATATGGTACAATCTAAAAAATCTATTTGATGAAGTTGAGCCATCCTTTCAGCAGCTCCAAATTACAGTTCAACATCTGGTCAACAAATGTTGATGAACTAGGAAGCTGTCATATGGCACATAAAATGTAAAAAATATATATGAACTATATGACTTAAATCAAGTTCATTTCCAATTTGCCTAGTTTTTTATTACCATTTATTAGTTTTCTAAGTGACTGTATACAAAGTAGACCGTGAGAAAAACCAGTTGTGTCCTATTGGATTTTAGTTTAAGTTACATTGCTATCTCCTGTCACTTCAGGGGTCTTCAGTGTCCATTATTGATCTTAATATCAGTCAGTGATTTTCATGACAACATTTCCTTGCTCACCCAGCCTAATCCCCAAATGAGAATTACTGGAGCATAGATGAACAGCCCTCTATTCCAGTAGTTCTCTCCTCACTACAGTGGGAAAATAACTCTCTGAGGCTGTATGCCTACTAATTCTTATTTTGTTTATGATAGGCTTTGTATGGGTACATAAATTATTCCGTGAGCCTATAGTGGATAATGAAAAGTATGGCCTGAGTGAATCACTGTAGATAGCATCAGAAGTACACTAAAACTCAGTTATAAATTGCTTATCTCCAGCAGTGAAAGTGGGGGCCAAATAACCAAATAGGAAGATATAATAGAGGCCGAGAGATTTGAAAGGAAAGAAAGAATATTCAAATACATAATTAAACTATCAAATTGGAGGTCAGGGAAACAAGATGCTGGCCAGAAGCCACTGACTAATGGAACTTTGGGATATTGGCTAGAGAAGAAACAGGGCAAGATGTTGCAAAGTTGTACTATTTGTTTGAGACCAGACTGTAATTAAGGGGCACGTTGCAAACATAATTTTATGTTCTTCATTATTTCCTTTTCTCCCCTTAGTTTATTTTAAAAGCCAATCTGCCTTATTTGTGTTAGTAAAGAATACCAATGAAGAGTATTACTTACTCTAAGTTCTGGTTTCCTTTCTAAATAATACCTAACTTCCTAAGGTTCTTATGAGGATCAAATGAGATAATTAATGAAAAATACTTGTCACAGCCTAACTACTCAGTGAATAGTAGGGATTTAAATGGAGGTTCTACCCTTACGGAAGCTGTTCAAGTTCTGTTAGGAATAGTGTTTTCATGACATCATAGTCCTGAATAAATATCAAAATAATAGCATATATTCCGTCTTAAAAATATGAATTAACACCTAATAAGTAAGATTTATATTCAGTAGTTATTTTATTCTAAACATTATAAACATCTAAACATTAAAAATATCTAATAGGCATCGATAGAGTCCAGTGTTCTAGAGATCTGGAATTGGCTCACCAGCTTCAACAAGAAGAAGACAGAAAGAGGAGATCTGAAGAATCACAACAAGAAATGGGAGAATTTCAGAAGCTGCAGGTACAAAGATTAAATAACAATGATAATATTTTGCTTTGGTGGAATTTTTTTTAAACATGCTATCCAGACTGCAGCCTATTAATTTGTCCTTGTTGATATACAGAATACTTTTTAAAAAAAATATTTATTTATTTTGAGAGAGCAAGAAAGCATGAGCAGAGGAGGGGCAGAGAGAGGGGGAGAGAGAATCCCAAGTAGGCTTCACATTGTCAGCACAGAGCCAGACCCGAGGCTTGATCCCACGAAGCATGAGATCATGACCTGAGCCGAAATCAAGAGTCGGATGCTTAACTGACTGAGCCACCCAGGCACCCCTGAAATACTTTTTTTACATATACATTTTACAATTCATAACAGGCACCACTTTTAAGTACTTACTCTGGTCATGTACTGAGATAAGCACATCATATATAGTATCTGAAAATCTTTGCAACAACTCTATAAGTGACAGCTGAAGAAATGGAGAAAGAGTGCTTACAGGCACTTAGAAAGAGCAATTTTTAATGGAAAATGCATTTTTAATGATATTTGACTTTATTTTAGGTTGATGGTGGTGTCTGCTGAACTAAACTGGCAGCAGCTATATATATGTGTGTATATATGTGTTTTTTGTTTTTTAATGTAGTCTTCATGCCCAGTTTGGGGCTTGAACTCACTCTGAGATCAAGAGTCTTATGCTCTACTGAGATTTCGAGGCACTCTGAATGAGTTTAAATTTTTAATAGATTTTTCTACATTTTTCAATCCTAATTTGCTGCATACTATGGCTAGAAGGAAATGGCAAGATGTTGCAAAGTTGTACTAAATGTTTCAGACCAAACTATAATTAAGGGGCACTTTGCAAACATACTTTTGTACTCTTTATTATTTCCTTTTCACCCCTCAGTTTATTTTATGATGCTACCTGTGCTAATAGTTTTCAGAGTTCTCAGTGTTCTTTTTCCATGTGCTGATAGGATTATGTGTAAATAAAAAGTATTTATGATTGGATAGGTTTAAAGTATTCAATTAAACAGGTTTGTATACTTCAAGATTTCTCAAACCTTTAATATACTAATGTGCATTGTACATATCATAATTTTCATAGATCTACTTGACTGCTGAGTTTTTCTTATCAGATACTTCACATATGACTGTGTAATTCTCGCTTTGGAATATCTAATTTAGGCTACTTTTCTCCTTGGTGATTCATTTATTTGCAAAACATTTTTCCACCAGTATTCAGAGGAGGAAAAAAGGTTGGCTTTTCCTAAGTTTTCTTTACCTTACATAACTTTTAACATTGTCAATACACAAGATTTCCAGTATTTAAGGGAGTTTGTTATGTAATTTTGCAAGTTATTTAGATTTCAAAATTTTTTCCACAGAGGCTATGTTAGACATTTGAGATTATCCAGCATGGGGAAAAAAAAAAACAAAACCAGTTCACTTACTATGTAGAATTATTGCCTGAATGAAGTATGGATTAAATAGGCTTTCATAAGCTAGCCTGGGAATCAAATAACAAGTACTGACAAGGTTTCTTAAATGAATCAGTGCTATGTTCAGACTCATCTGCCTTTTTTGGTATGTTTAGTAGGAAGACAGGAGTCTCTACTTTCCCTACTACAAGGAAAGCAAATCTCTCACTATGGTGGTGGTTTATAGAGAAAGGCTGTCATTAACTCAGGGATTTGTGTGTGTATGTGTGTGATTCATCTTTAATAAAAATCATTAAGTTGATTTATATAAAAGCCTGTGAACCAGAATGTTTCAAAATACATCCCCAAATCAAATTGTAGTAAGTTTCCATTCTCATTGAGGTAAAGAGACATAAAAATTAAGTCATTCATTTTTATGTTTGATAGAGACAATATGGTTTAGATAATTCTGGAGGATACAAACAACAGCAGCTACATAATATGGAGATAGAAGTCAATAGGGGAAGAATGCATCCATCTGAATTTCATAGAAGAAAAGCTGATATGATGGAATCACTAGCTATTGGCATTGATGATGGAAAAACAAAAACTTCTGGTGAGTACTTAAACATCAAAGCCATTATTTTACTATTTCATACATCAGTAAAGTAATAATAAGAAATATTTGAATTTTGCTTAATTTTTATAAGGCAGTTTATATACTTTTAGGTGAAACTGTTCAAATAATTATTTTAAATGTGTCTTTTTTAAACTTCTATTTTTATGACAAATAATTCACTTAAAAATAATTTACATATAAGTATCTATTCCATGCTGCAATATTTAGTAATCAATTATATAGCATTTTAATTGTTCTTTTTCTTGATTGTAAGTCTTTTAAAGTTTCTTGGAAACCGTTATATATATTTCTATCTTTCGTATGCTAGGCACAACTACAACACTTGGTTCATTTAATTGTTTTGATTTATTGATTCTTACCTTGTTAAGGACAAAACCCATTTCCCCATAGGATACCCTCATTCAAGTGAAAAGAATTCAGTGATTGCCTTTTTGGTGCCACATACTGTATGAGAAAGTATGGGCTACCCAATCAAGACCTTCCTGCCCATAAGCTTCACAGAATCTATAGAGTAAATACAATATACACAAAGAACTACAGTGTTCTGCCATGACAGAATATGGCTAGTCCCTAGGAGGCACAGAAGATAAATGTGGTGAGGGTTCAGAGAAAGAGGACCTTTTTGTTGGGGTTTGGAATGAGGAAAGCAGTCTATAAAGACATGAGCATTTGATCCTTGGAGTATTTGTAGGGTTTCAAAATGCCCTCTAGGGTATTTTACTATTATAGGATTGCAGGAGGGAAGGGACACAGTCAGATACCCTGTCCTAACACCTTGTTTATCTATATTGTAGCACTTACTAAAATAGTCCGAGTCCATGAGATTTCAAGGAATATTGTCATAAATATATATATATTTTATATATATATATATATTTTTTTTTTGTAATTTTAGCACTTAGCATAGTGCTAGGCATATAAAAGGTGCTTACCAAATATTATAATTGAATGGAAATTCCATGGGCAAAATGTTTAATGTGTTCAGTTAGGCCACAGCCAAAGTTATGTCAAGAAGAATGGATTGAAACAAGATAAGTTAGAAGATAGCTTGCTGTGGGGCTTCGTATACCATGGATTATAACCATTCTGTAGGTAATAGGAAGTTATTGAAGTTTTTAAATTGGGAGCAAATTGATTAGGACTGAGCTTCAGAGGGAGTAATGTCCAATAGTATGTATAATAATAGACAATAATACCTTTCTTTCAATAGTTACTTTTATGTGGTAGGCCTGGTAGGTACAGAAATGAAAGGTACCTGGTAGGTACATTCAGTTCAATGTAATTAGTAGTATGCTAGTGTTAGGAAACTTGTATAGTAGTAACAAGAAAGACATGAACTAAGGTTATAACAGTAAAAAGATAAAGAAAATGGAATTGACAGGATTTAGATGGGACCCTTGAGGGGCGCCTGGGTGGCTTAGTCGGTTAAGCGTCCGACTTTCGCTTAGGTCACGATCTCGCGGTTCGTGGGTTCGAGCCCCGCGTCGGGCTCTGTGCTGACTGCCAGCTCAGAGCCTGGAGACTGTTTCAGTCTGTGACTCCCTCTCTCTCTGACCCTCCCCTGCTCACACTGTCTCTCTCTCTCTCTCCCCTAGAAATAAATAAAACATTAAAAAAAAAAAAAATTAGATGGGACCCTTGAGGAAGAGACTGATATTAAAAATATATGAGACAGCCATAGAAAAAGTTAGCTTATACTTCTAAATCTTCTAAATCTCTTTTCTATGTTAGGAATTATTGAAGCACTTTATAGATACTATCAGAATGCTGCCACAGAGGTGAGGCGTGTGTGGCTTTCTACAGACGTGGATCACTTTCATTCATCTTTTGGTGACAGAGGTTGGGGTTGTGGTTACAGAAATTTCCAAATGCTACTTTCATCATTACTGCGAAATGATGCTTATGATGATTGCTTGAAAGGTAGGTGAAATGCAATACTCTGAACTTGTCAGCTGATAGGATAACATACAGTTGACCTTTGAAAATGAGTTTGAACTTCATAGGTGCATTTATACAGGATTTTTTACAATGCAGTATTGTAAATGTATTTTCCTTATGCTTTTTTTTCTTATGATTTCCTTTTCTCTAGCTTAATTTTATTGTAAGAATACTGTATGTAATATGTATAACATATAAAATATGTGTTAATTGACTGTTAGGTGTATGTTTATTCATAAGGCTTCCAGTCACCAGTAGGCTCTTAGTAGTGAAGTTTTTGACCAGCAAAACCTTTATGCAGATTTTTGACTGTGCAGTGCCCCAACCCGTGTGTTGTTCAAGGATCAACTACATATATAATATGGAATGAGTTAATAAATAGTGTGCATAATTAATAGCTTCAATGAGGAAGTATTTTAGTGGATGTTTACATTAAAAACCTGAATTTGTTTTGAAGAAAGAAAAAATGTTACAATAGAAAATGCCAAGAATGATTGTCTTAAAAGCTGTGTTGTAGGTCCTTTGGAGTATATGGTGTACTGCTAAATGATAATTTCAGTACTTTGGTAACTGTCACGTAACGTATTTGCTTGTATAATTTTAGGTATGTCAATTCCTTGCATTCCAAAAATCCAGTCTATGATTGAAGATGCGTGGAAGGAAGGTTTTGATCCTCAGGGTGCCTCTCAACTTAATAACAGGTTACAGGGAACAAAGGCCTGGATCGGAGCATGTGAAGTGTATACACTTCTGACCTCCCTAAGGGTAAAGTATGTACCTGAAAGTCCAAGTTAAGGTCATTGTCATATCTGGGAGGTTTTCTTTGTTGTCTTTTTTTGTTTATCAAAGAGACCGTTAAAAAATAAAATTTAAGTGGCACTGAGACACTTATACTGAAAACCAGCAGTTCAATCCCTATCTCATGTTTCTTTCTGTTCTCAAGTCCTGTTTCTCAGAGGCAGCTGTTCTACTGTTTCTAAATAATATGCTCTCAGGGCTGTTTTGTTTTGTTTTGTTCTGTTTTATCAGTTTTAGATGTTGTCTGCTGCATTTCCCTCACATTTCCTACCTGTGTTCACCCTCAATTTTTGAAATTTGGTTAAATTTCACTTTTTATTAAAGTCAGAGTTTACATCATGACGGTATTAATATTATTCATTGCCAATTTTATTTCCTTTCCTGAAAAGCTTTTAAAAAATTTACTTGAATTAAGGATTGCCTTTTCTTTTCCCTTTTACTACTTGACTGCATCAGTGTCTCAAGCTTTTCTAAACAGTCCATTTACATAATCTGAGGCTTTCCTATTCCTGAACACCTCCTCCTTGAAGCTCTCTATTGTCTTTGCTCTAATCTGGATTATTTGCCTCCTAGATCCTCTTCAAACCTACAGTCATCTAGCATTTCTTCATTATTTTCTTGAAGTGGAGTCTGGATTTTTTTTTTTCTGGATTCCATGTCTGTCTTTTTTTGGATTACTCTTCTGCTTAAACACATCTTTTATTAGCTTCCTAAGAAAAGATACCTAGTCCTTATTACTTAAATGATAATTTTGGTGGCTATATTCTTCTAAATTCAAAGTTATTTTCAGATCAAATTAAGTTTTTACTCTGGTGACTTCTAGCAATCAGTATTACTTTTGAGAAGGTAAGATGTCGTCCGATTTTCATTTCTTTTGTGTATAACCTATTTATTTTCTCTAGAAGTTTTTTTGCATCATTTCTTAGTCTTGCTATTACTGAAATTACACTGTGAATGTGAGGCTTCGATTCCTTATATTGGGCATTTGTTTTTCCTTCTGAATCTGGAGTTGTGAGTTGTAAGATCTCAGTGTAGTGGTTTAGAGCTTGGTCTTTGGAGTCTGACTGCCTACAATTGATTCTAGCTTTCCTGCTTATTAGCTACATTACTTAGTTTGTCTATAGCCTTGTGCCACCATTGATAAAAAGAACGTGTAAAAGTAACTGCCTCATAGAGTTGTAGTAATATTAAATGAGGTCATAAAGTCCTTAGAACTGTCATTGGCATGTACTAAGAGCTCAGAAGTTGACTGTTGTTTGATAATTATGATCCCTCCATGGCCAGTGAACTTCAATTTTAAGTTTATTGGTCATGTCTCATTTTTTCATCTTTGTTTTTGTCTTACTGTCTAGATTTATCAACTTTATCTCCCAACTATTCTATTGAAATTTGTATCTTAGCAATCATGTTTTTAATTTTAGGGGTAATTTCAGAGCATCATAGTCTTATGTTGCAAAAAATTTTTTTCCAACATTTTGTTTCTTTCTAGTCCTTGCACTTTGTACTTTCTCCTGTATTAATTTGTTTACATGACTAATTTAGCCATTTGCATTTTGAGGTCTTTCTTCCAACTTTTATAAATCCTTAGTTGTCCATTCCTAGAGTGAGGAATGAGGCACTAAAAAGGTCCTGTAGGATTGCATGGAGCTTGCAGATAAGCAGACTTCATTTATAGACTATTAGGTAGAAGCTTGCTGTTGGGTTGTGGAACTCTCAATTTCAATATAGGAAGAGATCTCTTCTCAGTGGCCATTCAGAGAAGAAGAGTTCTCACTCTCCTGCCTTGAGCTCCTACATTGATGGAGGGGGTGGTTAAGGAGCTATGTGCCTTCTTTATACAAACTTTCAATTCATTTTACATTTATAGCCGCATTACTATCCCCAATACCTAGTGCCTCTAAGCTTCTAGACTCTCTGGGATTTTAAGACAATTGTCTGTTTCTTTGCATTCACTTTTATGTTTCTTTTTCTGCTTTTCATTTTCCAAAAATGTAGGGCAATTTTGTCTCCATTCTCTTCGTCTTTGGGTGTTTGAATCATTTACTCTTTCAGTATTTTGTTGTTGGGCTTTCAAGAGGGAACAGAGATAGATGCTTGTGATCATCTTTAATGGAAAGTCTGCCATTAAGCTTCATGGTTCTGTGTTTTCTTTTATACTTGTTTTACATCATTTCTACCATATTAATTGATTAGATTAAGCAGTAAAACTATTTCTTTACTTTTAAATAGGAAAACTGTATAATGCCTTTCTTGAATTATTAAAACCAAAAGGACTATTTTAATCCTCTAAATTTATTTATTTTTCTCTTTTTCTTCTTGTCAATCTGTTCACACTTTAAGGTTATATATATTATGTCACGTACTGTTTTTAAATCATGTTTAAGGAAAGGAGAATTTCTGTCTAAAATACCTGATATTTCCAACTTTTTTCTTGGTGCCTAAAATAGTTTTCATCTTTGAGTAAAGCCTTTTCAATGCTCTGAATTTGTTTACTGCTTGTTTCAATGTCTTCCTTTTGCTGTTTATGGATTATATTCTATAGGGTACTGTTCAAATTCTGAATCTAAACATGCAGTCAGTTTTCTAACCCAAAACCCATTTTTTAACAGTATCCAGAAGTTCATTTCACATTTGAAACTCAGTAGTAATCAGTTGTTAACTAAACTTGCTGAGGCTAAAGATAGCAACCATTACCGTTTTGGTGTATTCAGAAATTTTATAGTGAGAAACAAGGACAGGATATCCGTGCTGTACTTTAAAATGACAGTAAAGCTTGTAATTGCTTTTGGTTATACCTGCCCTTTTAAAAATAGTTGCTGAGAAGTGTCACCAGTGCTTCTGGTTAAATAGGGGATGGGTGGGTGTACAGATGGGAGCACATACAGGGTTTCTCTAAGATCTTTGCAGGTATTCTTTTCTTGTCCATTATTGGAATTTGTGAGAGCCAACAGGAAAAATGTTCAGGATCTTTTTGATGGATGTAAATGGCTACCATGGAATTAAAATTAGAAGTCAGCTTCTAATTGATCATCAGGTTTTGGGACTTTAGAAAGAAAGTTGTGTGTCAGGTTATATGAAGATGACTTTTAAAAACCAAATATGGTCCTTATTTTACTATTCATGGAAATTTATATGTTAGAAAAGGTTTGTTACTTTTAGATCAGTCATCAGCCTTATTTTGAAGTTCCTTAAATTATTCATAAAATAACAATAAAATTTATATTTATTTTCTTCTTAGGAAAATGCTGAGATCAGATTAGTTCTGAATTAAAACTTTTTTTTTTTTTTTTTACAAATAGTTTATTGTCAAATTAGTTTCCACATAACACCCAGTGCTCATCCCCACAAGTGCCCTCCTCCATGCCCATACCCCCTTCCCCTCCACATCCATCAGTCCTCAGTTTTTGTCAGCTGAATTAAAACTTTTTTGCATTTGATAACTCCATTGATGAAAATCTTTTAAAAATATTCTCCAAATAATCCATTTTGTCATTTTTTTATAGGTGCCACATTGTTGATTTTCATAAGTCAACTGGCCCTTTGGGTACACATCCTCGTTTATTTGAATGGATATTGAACTATTATTCTTCAGAGAGAGAAGGGAGTCCAAAAGTAATGTGTACATCTAAACCACCTATCTATCTTCAGCATCAAGGTTGGTATAGCTCATAGATAATAAGTGTAACTTATAAGGCAGTACCTTTATAGGACAACTAGTTGGCTCTTGCTTTAGGACAGGTTAAGATTCAAATGGGGAGGAGGGGAGTATTGTGACCTTAGTCTGACTTTCAGAGCTACATTGTCATTAAAGTACCTTCCTAGGTAACCAAGGGTGCTATCCCCCTGGCATATTCAGGGCTGCCTGTTTCACTCATCCCCTGGCATATTCAGGGCTGCCTGTTTCACTCTTCCTTTCTTGTTCATCCCTTACTTTTTTAGGTCTTCACCTGTTTCGCTTCAGTGAGGCCTTCCCTGATCACCTTGTATTAAATTCCATCTTATCTCAAATTCTCACCACTGGCATTTTCTGTGTTTCTCCCCTGCTTTATTTTTTTTTTTATCTAACACAATATATGCTTACTTACTTACCTTGTTTATAGGGTATTTCCTCATTTTAGAATTTAAACTCAACCAAGGCCAGAATGTTGTTCTGTTTGCTTCTGTAAAGCTAACTGCCTAGAATAGTGCCTAGCACATGGATACTTGATAAATTTCGTTGAATGGATGATTTGAATCAACAGAAATAGGAAAAGTAAATGTTGAGGATTTCATCATTTAGGAATAAAAGCTATAAAGATCGAACCTTCCCCATCGAAATTCTAGTATAAGTTTATTTTTGTTAACCTTTTGGAATCATGAGAGGTTTTGTTCTGTGATAGGTCATTTTCAAATGCTTTCATCTGAGATAATTTGAATAAGAAGAATCAAGCAGTTAGGAAAGAAAAACTAAAGTATATGGCCTTGTGCCACAATTGACACAGACATAGACACAGTAGAAAGAAAATTTTTTGTAATGAAGCCTTTAGAAAACAAAAGTTGAACTAAAGAAAACTGAAGGTTAGGAAATAGAACTAAAACTATTTTGTCTTCAAGGTGAGAGAGCTCAAAAACCTATATGTCAGAGGGACTGGCAGTATTTATATTCAAAACACACGTGTGCACACACTATATACAGAGAGCATATAATATAGTGTGTGTATATGTACTGACTTATGTCTATACATACAGAAATAGTTATCACACACACATACACACATATATATCTATAGCTGTTATTTTATTTTTTGATAGGTCATAGTCGAACAGTTGTTGGAATTGAAGAAAGAAAAAACCGAACATTATGTTTACTAATATTTGATCCTGGATGTCCTTCTCGAGAAATGCAGAAACTGTTAAAGCAAGACATGGAGGCTAGTAATCTCAAGCAACTTCGGAAATTTGTAGGAAATTTAAAACATAAGCAATACCAGATAGTGGCAGTAGAGGGTGTTCTTTCTTCAGAGGAGAAAGTTGTAAGTATCTCCACATGTGAAACTTGAACATGTTAAACTTACGGGAATGTAAAATTTTTAGTTAAAATCAGTGTTATCCCTTTGTATCTCATTCTGCATTACTAAGTTGGCAAAGATATATTGGTTTTGTATCATTTAATTTCTGGAGGGGACATCTTTAAATTTCAAATGCTACCTAATAACCTTTTTTTTTTTTTTTTTTTTTTTTGAGAGAGAGAGAGAGAGAGGATGCAAGTGAGTGAGGGACAGAGAGAGAGAGAGAATCCCACGATGGGCAAAGAGGTGTAGAGAGAGAGAGAAACGGGACTCACCCTGAAGCGGGGCTCGTGCTCACCCAATGTGGGACTCAAATTCACAAACTGTAAGATCATGACCTGAGCCAAAGTCAGATGCTTAACTGACTGATCCACCCAGGTGCCCTACCTAATGACTTTCAAATACTTTACTCAGAGCTTCATAAAAATATTTAACAGTATAATATATAAGTTAATTGTTAATGTTGGGTAAGTAATGAAAATGGCAATATACACGGTCTAAGAAAACCTAATTTACTCCAAGGAGACCTAATGCACATTGGTCTTATAATTATTATTTATTAAATGTGATTCTTGTGATTCTTCAGGCTCTGTTTCACGCACTTGGGCTTACTGGATATACACAGTTCTAGAATTTAACTTCAGAACAGTTGCCTCTTTATCCCTTACAGTTAAGTGACGAATGGTACATTTTAGAAGAATTTCTAGGGATAAAATCCCTCCTCTACTTGGTATAACCTGAAGCTGTGTTGTGGCATATCAGGTCTAGAAAATAGACAGTTCCCAGAATCTTAAAAGAAAAAAAGATGTTCCTGTAGAGTACTCCACATGGATTTGTTTCCCTTTGAGGAGAAAAGAGAGGACTAGAGAGGAGCATTTATGAAGAGTAACAGGATTATGGGAGGAAGGACTGAAATTGCTTGAAATGAGAGAGAGAACTAGAGCAATCTTTTCAGACTCACAACTTGAGATATAAAGGCTAAGATTGTTTTAAGAGGTCTTCAGTTTAATCATGATATCTTAAAGGTTTCTTTGCAGTGACTTAAATGCCAAAATTGCATTCATTTTTTCACCCTATCATTAACTTGGCTGCATAAATTTAGTTAGAGATTAATTTTATTTATTTACTTAATTATTTTCGACTTCTTAAAAACTTTATTTTTATCTTAATTCCAGGATAGTTAACATACAGTGTTCTATTAGTTTCAGGTGTACAGTAAAGTGATAAAACATTCTATACATTACTCAGTGCCCATCAGGATGAGTGTACTCTTAATCCCCATCATGTATCCCACCCACCTCCCCTCTGGTAACCATCTGTTTGTTCTCTGTACTTAAGAGTTTGTTTTGATTAATTTTAATCATTACAAAGTCCCAAAATGCTTGTTAATCAATATACAGGTAACTTTTGAGAGCATAGGTGATGTTAAATATTATCATGGAACCTGGCTGAACACTTTAGTTAGCTGTAGCTATTAAGTCTCTGGTTTGAAAACTGAGACAGTAGTAACATTAGAATACTAAAAAATGTATTTACTACTGTTCCTTTTTTTTTTTTTTTTGAGTCATGGTGAGTAGCTGTGTCTTTAACCAAAAGAATTAGAACTTGGCTGACTATTGTGCAATAGTGCCAGATAGAGAAGAAATGATAATATGATTATAATCTTAATTTTAATAAAAGTAACACTTTATAATGCTTACTTTACACCAGGCACCATCATAAGCACTTTATACATGTATTAACTAATATCTATATAACTGCTCTATAGAGTAGTCACTATTATTCCCATTTTATAAATGAGGATGTTTACATTCAGAAAAGTCATTATATTTCTAAAGCCATACAGCTGCTAAGTAGCAAGAGAGGTTACATCCAGAGTCCTGCCCTATATTGCTTCTTCTCTGAGGCTACAAAGTCTCATTTCATGTTTGCTAATTAAGCTTATGTGTGAGCAATTCACGTTTATTATTGAAAACATAGGATAGTATTTTTGAAAAATAAAAAAATCAGTTTACATTGTTTTTGTGTATTGTTTCAACCCTATGTTTTTGTTTCTTCCTTTTTTTTTAAATCACTGTCTTACAGTTATTCTGTTATTTTTAATAGTGCTTTTAGACCTTTTAGGAATTCAGCAAATACTGATGTACTGATTGATCTGGATATCACCAGATAGAAATGTGCAGCTTTAACTAAGGGCACATTAATGACTTTACTTTTATTTCATGGTTTGTTTTTGTTTTTGTTTTTGTTTTTTTAGAGCTCACTTTAAAATGTCTTTTTAAATGTCCTTTAAAATGTTACCTCCTAAGTGGTAACTCTTATTTTAATTGTAGAAATTTTAGAACAAATTTAGCATTTTAACATATCCCAAAGTGTACACATTTGTATCTGAATTTTATGTTTTGTTCTTCATATTTAGAGTTTAATTGATTATAATATTGTAAAAGTTACATTACATATATTATTTAAATATAATGTAATATTATATTACATATATTATTATAATATTACTATATAATAATCATGCCGCTCTTATTCAAGGAGAGGAATCAGGTTTCAAAAAATTTTTTTAAATCTTGGAAGCTGTCTTATAATTACCTTAATACATTTCTGCCATATTTTGAGTATCTAATAATTCCAAACTACTGTAGATGTTGGTGTACTTGTTTAGGTGAAAGCATTTATGTTAGAAAATAACTCTTATTGAAATTCAGTTCAGTAATGCATACAAATCTATCTAAATGCCATGTTACTCAATTCTTTTCATATTTTGATACATTGTAATTAAATTACATTACTGGATTCTTTGTTTTCTGTTGTCCATTGTGTAATCCTTGCACTCTTAACTGATTTAACTTTAAATTAGCTGAGTAAATTATCCTTGGTTTGTAACTCAAGTTCTGAAAATGGAACACGTTTAAAAGTTTTTTAAAATGATATTTTAAGGCTATAATGAAAGAGATATTTTCTTTATCTGTTGATACATGTCTCTTTCTGTGAGCCAGCATTTTTACCTTTGACTCATTATTCCTTAAAACAGTGACATTTTCCATTACTTTCTGTTTTGTCTTCATCTGGTATTTTTGTTTAATTTCTTTTTTTGGCTTGGCTTTAAAAATATTTATTCCTAATCACCTAAGTTTGAAGTTGTATGTTTTCATTTTCTTGAAAAAATTTCCAGATTTTATTTTTTTGTTAGATAATTAATATATATAATATATATAACATAATATATATAATATATGATTGATATATATTCTAAACTTATTGCTTAAAATTAACAATTTTTTAAATTTCTTTTCAAGGCCAGGAGACAAGCTTCTCAAGTCTTTACAGCCGAGAAGATTCCTTGAAGAAATTAAGCATGTCAGTGATTATGGAATTTTACATTATTTCCAAATTGAGATATTATACTCCCTAATACAACTTATGAATCTGAATTCTCTAAATACTCAACTTGGAATTTAATTTCTAAAATGTCTAAATCATACCTCGAGTACCTCATTGTTTAGTAATTATTTCAATAAACTATTTTCTTTGCAGTATGAGTTCTATATTTCCTCTCTTATCCATGTTTTAGAAACTGGTTTTGTATGATAGTCATATGTAATATTTATTGAGTCCTTAGTGGTGTTACGTATTCTTAGTGTGTTCCATGTATTAATTAATCTTCAAAATAGTTCTGTGAGATAAATTCTGTTAGTCCTGTGAAGAAGCTGAATCTCTGTAAGATTAGTAATTTGCCCAAAAAAATGATTGTAATCCAGGGTGTGAACCCAGGCTTTCTCATTTCCAAGCTCAAGCTCTTTCCATTAAAGCATTTGGCTTTCTTCTCTTGTAAAACATATATAATGAAATCCCCTGCTCATCACTTAGAAATAACCTTATTATTTAACAGAGAGATTTGCTTTTGTTGAATGTTTATACTCTTACCCATACAGCTGTGAATTGGAATCTTGTGTTTCATGTGTCCTGGAGGAAAGAAGCTTTCAGATTTATGTTGGATGTATCAAGTAAAGTTACAAGCAGGAATCCTATTGCAGCCAATTTGAGCAGAAGGGAATTCACTGAAAGATTGTTAAGAGCTCAGAGAATACACAGGTAACTAAGAAACTGCTGGAACAAAGGCAGTCCTAGAGGCTAGATTTACAGCAGAACAATCAAGCTAGGAACCCAGGTAGAATGTCTCTGCTCAAACTTTAGATTCTAGAGAGGGTACATCTGATTGGCAGGAAGCTTATACAACAACAACCAAAAGCAACACCATGAAAAAAAAACACACTTGAATGAAGTCTTATACATATTAGCTACTCCATCAAATAGTGAAAGCTGTACTCCCAAGAATGAATAATATTGCCAATTGGAAAATTCTGGAAATCGTCCATTCTAATACTCTGTCCTTCAGACTGGTAACCAGGCTTCTACTTTTTATCCTGTTTCATGCCAGCATTTCTTCTTATCTGGTCTCCTAATTGGTCTCCCTGCCTTGATCTTTTATTAGTCAGTCTTCCACATGTAAGCCAAATGTTCTAAAGTATGGATGTGATTTTGTCACTTCCTAGTTGAATCCTCTTCATTGTTCCTGGTTCTCGACAACCTGGGCCCTGCTTACCTCCAGACTCGTCTCTCACCACTCTTAAAGTTCCATTCCTTCCAGCCTAGAGTCCTTTGCCAAAAAAAAAAAAAAAAGTTCATGCTGCCTAGGACCCTTCTCCCTTTAGTTCTCCACCTCTTGGAGAACTTTCTGCATGGCCCAAATCTGGGTTAAATGCACCTTCCAAGTGTTTGATAGCAGTGGGGTTTTTTTTTGTTTGTTTGTTTGTTTGTTTCTTTAAGCATAGATCAGTGTTTTGTGAACCGCTAGTCTGTGACAAGGTAATTACAGAAATTAGAATTGTTGTGATACTTTATTTTAAAAAACAATGACATTGTATTAGAATTTTAATTCTTAAATTGGTACTTTACAGGATTTAAGAAGCACTCTTCTATGGTATCCTGTGATAATTTATATCCTAATACCTGTTAAGTTGAAATCTATTTTGATTTTCTATTTCTCTTTTTATACTTCCCTCCTTGAATGGAGCTCAAAGATTTCGGGAGCAACGTCCAGTTTTTAAAAGTAATCTCAAGAGTATCTGACACAAAGAGGACTTAAAAATACTTTTTTTAGGAATGGAAATAATAAGTAGTTTTAGAGAAGTAGTGCTATAAAAACACTAATCTGAAGTCTTTGGATATCCCAGCTAGCCATCGCTGTGCAAATTATTTTCCCCTAATCATATAAAACCATTTTTTTAGGATAAAGGAGTCAGACTGAGAATTTTTTTAAGAAGTAAAAAGTATTAAAACTTTCAGTGTTCCCAGTCTTTGGGCAGGTGATATAAGTCCTCTCCCCAGCAAAAGAAAAAGCACCTCCCTCCCCCTACACATACATACATATGCAACATTTGCATGCAGTATCACAGACTGGTTAGAAATGCATGCTCTAATTCAATGAGTATCAATATTTTTGGTCCCAGTTGCCACTGAAAAAATTTGGTGGATTACATCTTTCCATGTTTGCCATATTAGAAATTAAAACTTTTTTTTTTTTTTTTTTAAAGAATACACATGATTCTGTTAGCTGTAGCCCTCAGAATAGTGATGTAAGAACATGTCATCTGGCCTCTGGGAAATGCATTGTGCATCCTTCTCCAATTACATATTAATAGCTGCCCATATGAAATTCCAAACTTGGCATTTTCAAGGAAATTTTGCACATGAAGAGTTGCCAATGTTTATGTAACGAAATGCCACAACTGCGTATGTAAGATGGATTCCAGGACGCCTGGGTGAGTCGGTTCAGAGTCTGACTCTTGATTTTGGCTCAGGTCATAATCCCGGGGTGGTGGGACTGAGCCCTGCGCTTTGCAACTGAGTGTGGAACCTGCTTAAGATGGTCTTTCTCTCTGCCCCCTCCCCTGTTTGTGCTCTCTCGCTCTCTAAAATAAAATAAATAAAAAATAATAAAACCAGTTCAATGTAAGGTATATGTGGATCAGTCTTACACAAGACTGAGCTAATTTTATTCTTGGTCATAATCATCTTCCTCCTCTTCATCGTCCTCAGTTTCTTCATTCTCCTCAGCTGAAAGAACAGCTGCTTCTTGTGCAGCTTTGAAAGCCTGCTCTTCTTCCACGGTAGGATCATCCATTTCTGTAATTTCTGCTCCACTGGGGTATTCTTGATACACTGGTGGTAGAGCTGGGGGTGTATAGTTATCTGGACTATATTTGTGACCCCAGCCTATGTAGAAATTTTCAAACTTTCTATACAGTTTAAAAAAAAAAGTAGATGAACATTATATAATTTTTCAGTAAGAAAAGTTGATCTTGTCTAAAAGTCGATGACTCTCTTAAAAACAATGCATTTTAAGTGCTAGAGATGAAATATCCCTCAGTGATTCTCCTATCACAGGAAATGACTTATGATCCAAACTGCGTAAGCTGATTAAGAGGCCACCAGACCCTGTCAAACTAGACCCTCCACGGTACATTGTTGGTATGGCAGTAGATTCTTGTGATTGGTTACAAACCTGTGTGCGATCTTTCAGGCCCAACCAAATGCACTTACAGGGTTTTGCCCAACAGGCCTCAAAGGGGAAAACTGCCATTCCCACACCAGACTTGATGTCCAGCCAGTGCCTCGCAGTCTCTAAGGGAAGTTGTAGTCAAGAACTCTGGCCCGTCTGGCCTGTTATACTCTTTGCATGGTTGAGTTCCTAGCACAAGTGCCTTCATTCTAGGCCTTATCTGAGGCCTTAAACAGAGGTCTTTTTTTTAAGTTTTTTTTTTTTTTTAACATTTATTTATCTTTGAGAGAGATAGAGTGTGAGTGGGGGAAGGCCAGAGAGAGAGGGAGACACAGAATCTGAAGCAGGCTCCAGGCTCTGAGCTGTCAGCCCAGAGCCCCAAGCGGGGCTCGACCAACTAATGAGATCATGACCTGAGCCGAAGTCGGACGCTTAACCGACTGAGCCACCCAGGCACCCCAAGCAGAGGTCTTCAGTTGCCTTTGCCACAGCCTCCTTATGGGGTTGGAAAAGGAGATACACCTAAGGACACTTCTCCCTATTCTAACTCAGTACTGAATACTTTTTCACTTCTAGCACTCTCCCTCCCCACCCCCACCAGCTTCCTGGGCCTTTAAGGCCATAAAAACTGCAGAAGCCTGATACTTGGGGACTCCTTAGTGAGATGACCCCCATATATACACTGATCCACTGACCTTCCATTGGTGTGCCATGCCACAAGGGAAAATGGGCCAGGGCAGTCAAAGTTTTTTCTTGCTTATCACAGTAAATGACCAAAAGCTTAACTCATTTTGTGTTTGTTGCTTCAATGGCATCTCTGACATGTAGAAGCTCAGCTCTCTCTCTCCAACCTAGCTGAACTCTTGACAGTGGGCTCTTAGGTGAGAAATGGAAGCATAAGACAAATGGAAGTGTATGTTCTGGGTGAGGAATAAAAGGACAATGAGTATCCTCTTGATCCTAATTCTCTTGAAAGTGATAGTTTAAATAATACATATTTTATTTTTTATCAAGATGTCCAACAAAAATTGTTGAGATTAAACTAATTTAAACACTGTATAGAATTACTTCCATTAATCTTAGAAAATGAGTATGTCTATTACTCAATCATAGAATAAAAGCCATAGTTTAGCTCCACTAATTGGATAATTAAAAGGACAGAAGTCTGAATTATCTAATGTTCTAAGTTTGGTGCTTCACTGTGTAATACAGATTTTATCTGAATAAATCTTAGGCCACACACACTTGACATGCCAAGATAAATTAAGGCAATAGTAACCCCCTTTCTCCTTACCAAGTATTCCTGACACCAGATGACTCCAGAGATGAACACCAGTGAGAAAACAGCTCTACTAGGTAAATAGCTTAACAGAGTGCAGTGCTGTAGGCTCCTTGGAAATGGTTATCATGGCAACAGGAAGAAGCTTATCCTGGGCAGCGACACTTTACCCACTCTGGAGTCTGGGGACTTCATCATCTGCCTCCAACTTTTTGTTCTCTCTTCATCCCAGCCCAATTTCCTAATCTGTGAAATGGGCATCTCTCTTCCCAGAGTTGTGATAAGAACTCTTGGGGAAGATGTAGGTGTGAGTGCTGAACATGACATCTGGCTCATTGCAGGGACCTTCCCAGGTATCACTCCTCCCTCCCCCCTACTCTGGGTAGACTGCCCCATGCCCTTTTCCTCTCCCATCCTGGCCTGGGGTTATTGCAAATGGCTGCCCAGGTTTGTACTTCACCTGGGGAACAGGTGAGGGAGAGGAGATAGAAAAGAAAGGAGAAAAAAAAAAAAAAACAGCACATAACCTTCCAATGTAACTTATACTTTTTAGCACTTAAATTATCACAATACTGGCTTTCTAATTTGTCAGATACTTACTTGCCATTGGAAAAGGCATATGCTCCAGGCCAAAGGTTGGATCTAAGGACTGCAATAGCATATTGAGGAATGAGATTTGAGGACAGCCGTGTTGT